CTAGGCCCCTCCTTCCCAAGAGTAGACATGCCAAGTAGCAAAGACTCTGAGACCAAGCCAACTGCCCAGAAGAGGTTTAGAACTGAGTCTCTCAGAAGGAACACTCTCCAACCCACCACCGACCTTTTGTCACCCATGCTGGGATGGACTTTGGTTAAGATAGCTGTTTCCTGTAAGTAACCCCATAAAACTCTCCGGTTCATCAAATTGGTCTTTGATAGTATCTGGACTTTGGTCATGGGCTCCCTATCTGGAATGAGTAGATTTGTGTTTTTTATCCCCACTTTTGTCACACAATATAATAATAGCACACATAGCATACACAAACTAAATAAAATAAAATGTAAAAACCCAGACAGTCCATACACACATAAATTGCATGAAAGAGGGGTTGAAGAGATGGTTTAGAGGGAAAAGGTGCTACTGCTAAGGCTGATGACGAGTTTAATCCCAAGACCCACATGGTGAAAGAGAACTGACTCTTCAAAGTGTCCTCTTATTTCCATATGCAGCCACGGAACACACAATCACACATACACGAAATAGATGTAACAAAAATTTAAAGATAGAGACCTAATGCACAATATGGCTGACAATATCCAAAAAAGCCTTCCTGTAGATACATTATACCAACAGTAGAATCTATGTACATCTATCCGTATATTTTTTTTTTTAAGAGACAGGGTCTCTGTGTAGCTCTGGTTGTCCTGGAACTAGCTCTGTAGACCAGCATGCCTCTGCTTGGGATTAAAGGTGTGCGTCCCCACTGCCTGGCACTGAACAGTATAATTCTTTTCTTTTTTTTTTTTAAGATTTATTTTATGTATACAAGTGTTCTATCTGCATATACACTTTTATGACAGAAGAGGGCATCAGACCCTGCCACGTGGTGGCTGGGATTTGAACTCAGGACCTCTGAAAGAGCAGCCAGTGCACTTAACCTCCGCCTGACCTCTCTAGCACTCAATTCTACAGAGAACTGATTTAATATAGAACTTTGAAATTTGTTTTAAAGTTTTATTTACTTTTACTTTATGTGCAGTGGGTGTTTTGCCTGCATTTATTTCTATGTGAGGGTGCAACTGGAGTTACAGTTCTATGTGGTGATATTTTATTTGTGTTCTAACAAATAAAGCTTGCCTGGGGATCAAAGGAAAAAGCCAGCCATTATATAAACATAGAGGTCAGGCAGTGGTAGCACATGCCTTTAATCCTAGCATTCAGGAAGCAGAGATTCATTCAAATCTCTTTGAGTTCAAGGCAGGAAAGTTATATAAGGCATGAGTATACAGAGAGTAGCTCTCTTGGGCTGAGGATTTCCTAGCAGTAAGAACTTGTGGCTGGCTTGTTCTATTCCTCTCAGCTTTTATCCCAATATCTGGCTCTGGGTTTTTTATTAATAAGACCATTTAGCAATTCATGTTACAGCTGTGAGCTGCCATGTGGGTGCTGAGAATTGAACCTGTGTTCTCTGGAAGAGCAGCCAGTGCTCTTTAACTGCTGAACCATCTCTCCAGCCTGTAACATTGAAATTTTTAACATGAATGGTTCTCAAAAAGAAATGTTTACAAATTAATCAAGTATAGATTTATATTTATTAAAGAAAATGATTTGCAAAGCAGTAATAAAAAATGTAAATTCTTTTCAAGTATAAATGAAGACATTCACAAAACTAATTAGTCATGTATTGGGCCACAAAGAAAGTGTACCTTCTAAAAATTTAACATCATACATGTGTGGCCCTGCAAGCCTGCAATGCCTGCTCTTGAAGGGTGGAGGCAGGAAGATCAGTAGTTCACGGTCATCCTTTGCTACAAACAAATGTGAAGCCACCTCAGGCTAAAGGAAACACTGTTTCACAAAAGTAAAAAACAAGCAATTAAACAAACAAACAAATTATCATACATATCATGTTTTCTGACAACAATGCAATGTAGATAAAAAGCAACAAGAGTTAACTTTTAAAAAGTAACATGCCACCGGGCGGTGGTGGCGCACGCCTTTAATCCCAGCACTCGGGAGGCAGAGCCAGGCGGATCTCTGTGAGTTCGAGGCCAGCCTGGGCTACCAAGTGAGTTCCAGGAAAGGTGCAAAGCTACACAGAGAAACCCTGTCTCGAAAAACCAAAAAAAAAAAAAAAAAAAAAAAAAAGTAACATGCCTACGAGATAAATATGGGAGCCCAGCTGGGTGACCGGCACCCACATTTTACCCCAGGGTACTCTTGAGGAGTAAGGGATAAGAAATTTAGATAGAAGGATACAGAGGAGAGAAACATAGAAACAGGATAGCTCGGGAGGGCCTGGACCCTTATCAACCAGCACCTATCAACCAGCCCCTTCTGTCTCTCCTAAAGGGCTATTCATAGGAACGCCAAGGGGTAGAGCAAAGACCTCCCTCCACCCCCCCCCCCAGCACAGCCAAGTGCAGACCCTTTCCAATCTCCTGGTAACCACACACGTGGTCAAGCAATCCTCTAATGCAGCCCTGATGGGTAAAGCAAGTTCAGACGTCACTAGGAAACCTTTATGGGCCTCCACTGATAAATATCTAAGAAATCCTTGGGCTTACAAGAAAATCATGAAAATTTAGAAAACAGATAAATAACGGTGAAAATATAACCAGCAAAATTTATAAAATATATCTAGAGGAACAGAGAAAATAACATTTTTAAATACTTTAAGAATAAACACGATAATCTAAGTTATTTAGATCATATAGTTTAAACAAAAATAAGATTACATAAAACGAGATATGATCATAGAGATATTCAACAAAACTTGAAGCTGATTCTTGCATAGATTATACATGCAAAACTAGAGCAAAAACTGACCAAAAGAAAAACTAAGAAGCAAAATTTAAACAAGATGGTACTTTATAATAATCAGAATGGCCTAAATCAGAAAGGTTGTGAAACACTGACAAAGCTGTAGAAAAGAAAAGAAAAAAGAAGCCAAGTATTGCTGGTGGATGGGTGAAAACTCACACAGAAATTATGAAAAGCAACACAGCAGGTAAAATGTGGATACACACTGAAGAACTAAGTTAAGTGTACAAAAATATGGGCAAGTTTTTAAAAATAAAATACTGAGAAAAACAAGAGGTAGTACACCCTACACACCTGCAGTTTTTAAACATTTGATCTCTTATAACTATTCACATATTAGAAATTAATGAAGGCCCCAGATAATGTATGTCCTTTACATGTATGGATATTGTGCCTACATGTTAAGGTCTGTCTATGATGTGCATGCCAGGTGCCTACAGAGAGCAAGAGGGCATCAGATTCCTTAGAACTGGAGTTATAGTTGTGGGCTGCCAACTGGGCACTGGGAATCTAACCCTAGTCCTCTGGAAGAGCAGCCAGTACTCGTAACCACCGAGCCATCTTCAGCTCCCCACCCCCAGTTAATTTGTATGACTGCATTGAGTAATAATTAATACTTTAAAACTCCGAGTTGAAAACTTTATCTACAAGAACCACTAACCATAAAGTCATAGCATAATTTGTATACTCTCTAAAACTGCACTATATACTTGTAATCAGAGAAAAAGATAAAACATTACAGTGCTGCAAAAGCTTAACGAAGAACAACCTCAAACTCAAAGATCTACCTGCCTCTACCTCTTTTCCATTTTATTTTTTCAGATTCATTTAATTTATATCAGTGTTTTACTTGCATGAATGTCTATACACTACATGCAAGCCTGGGGCCCACAGAGATCAGGAGAGGACATCAGATCCCCTGGAATTCGAGTTAGGGATGTTTGTGAGCTGTCATGTGGGTGCTGGAAATCAAACCTTCTGTAAAGACAAGTTCTCTTTAACCACTGAGCCACCTACTTCTCCAGCCCCGCTTCTATTTTCTCAATGCAATAGGGAGTAAGATGAGAGGGAGGAGGTACTACAAGTGTTAAAAACAGAAATAAAGCTATAAAATATTCATATTTATAAGAATACTACAGGGGCTGGCAAGGCGGCTCAGGGGGAAAAAAGCCTTGAGTACCTGAGCTTGATTCCCAGATTCCACATAAAGGTGGAATGTTGACTCCTAAAAGTTATCCTTTGACTTCTGAACTCATGCCACGACATGTATGCACTCACACACACAAAATGAATTAAAAAAAAAATTTTTAAAGAAACATAAAAGCTTATACAACTTTTAGGCAACTCACTGAGTTATGATTAATTCCAAGCACGACAACTCTACCTTCTTTTATGACTGTTGAACATTTTTACTACTAAAAAAAGAGCACCCGAAGTTTACTACCTATACTGGTATCTTATTTAATCAAATGCTTTCTCAAAAAATTTTCTTTTTTAGTTCCATGATTCTAAATTCCTTTCATTTGAATATAGATACATGCAACAATTTTCTATAGGACAATTAATAAACACATGATCTAGGGGCTAGAAAGACAGTTCACGAGTTGAGTGCCTATTGCTCCTTCAGAAAACCTGTGTTTACTTCTCAGCACCAATGTCAGAAGGTTCATAACCTCCAATAACTCCAAGATTTAACAACAACCACACACATACACAAATTTAAAAAAAAAAAAAAAGTAAATAAATACGTGGCTCACTGAACATGTCCTCTCTCCTAGGAAGGGTTTACCCAGGATTTCTTCTTCACTGTCTTATAACCTTTCATGCAGGGCAAGGATTGTTCCCTTTGAGGCTGGTATGGTTCCTTACTTTGGCTCCTGAGTTTCTTATACAAAGAGGTCTTTTCTTCCCTCTGGTTGTATCTGACCTCTTTCTATAAATTCTCTTGGTTTCTCCATTCAACTTCTATTCTTGCTTTATATAAGGTATCCTTCCTCAAAATCTGAGTTTTTATCAAGATTTTACAATTTCTTTGAGCTTTTCTGCTGAAATCGTTATAAGATAGCCTTACAAAGGAATGAAGCCAGATCAGCCAAGTTGAATCCCAGTATCAGTTAAGCCTTGTTATTATTTTAACTAAATTACCAGTTTCCGGACAAAATAATGTGATGAGATCATATTATAATAAACATTTATTTGGTAAGTCATCTTACTGACTCAAAACTCAAACAATTTTCTTCAGCAATATAAAGTACAATTTCTGGGAAACTGTGGTTGGCATGTAAAATAAATTAAAAAAAATTTTTAGTAAAAAAAAAAAGTCTAATTTCAATCAATCTCCCCCATCAAAACCTTGCTCCATAACTGAAGTCCAAATCCCATGAATTATATCACTAAAGGGGTTGAGGGGAAACACTAAGCTTCCACAGGAAGACTGTATAAACTTGCCAATGGTTAAGTACATTATTAGACAATATTCAAAGACAATACTCAAAAGTACAACCTAGTCCCAAAAGCTAACTGATAAAACTAAATTTAATAGGAATTTTGTACTTAATAAATCTCAGAAAATTATCATTCCAAGTATATAACAATACTAGTTACATTATATAAACTGATATAATCCAAAAAGTAAAGTGAACAATCCAGATTTCAAAGGGAGTAGGCAAGTTACCAGAATGGATGTAAACAAAAGTTTTTATAAGCCATTTCACTCTGCTTTAAAACAAACATTCAGCACTGGAATCTTCGGAATTTTCTAGTATCTTGAATATCCCTGTTTTCTCTTTAATTGGTCTTGAGGCCTTCATTTGATCTAAGAGAGAAATATTACGACACATACATTTTTAAAGGCATGAGAAAATCTTAAAAAATCGTAAGAAATATCAAATATGTTGAAACAGAAGTCCTCTCTCCAAAATATAACAGTCTTTATTACAGCTCCAGTCAGCACAGAGGAAACAATATGAAGCCTCATTTTGCTGGTCCAAATCCTACATATACAAAGCTAGAAACAAAACACTAATCTGATTGTTTTCTCAGTGATTTTTTAATTTTATTTTTATTTTCCTTTCATTGGTGTTTTACCTACATGTGTGTCTGTGTGAGGGTGTCAGATCTTGGAGTTACAGATAGTTGTTAGCTGCCATGTAGATGCTGGAAGAGCAGTCAGTGCTCTTAAACACTGAGCCATCTCTTCAGCCCCATAAGGGATGTTTTTAAAAAGGCAATTATGCTTAGTTTGAAAGCTGAAAAATAGGGTTGGAGAGATGCTTAGCAATTAAAAGCTTGTTGCTCTACTAAACTTTCAGCTTAGAACAAGTACAAATTTTTGTTTATGTTCCATGTGTCTCACAGAATTATCTCAGCATAAATTTAACAAAATCGTTTTTCATAGTGAGTTCTATACTTTATATATATGCTACACACACACACACACACACACACACACACACACAGAGTCTGTGTACAAACCTGAGCATAAGGTCAGGAGGATGTCAGGTGTCCTCTCTATCACTCTTCCCTTTATTCCCCTGAGACAGCGTCTATTACTGAACCTGGAACTAGTGGGAGTTCAACAAACCTGAACAATTCTCCTTTCTCCATCCTTCCCCCTTAACTCTCATAAGGAAAGTTATAGACACATGTATAATCATGCCCAGCTCTTCATAGGCTCTGGGTATTTGAACTCAGATCCCCATTCCATACCAGTAAGTACTCTTACCTGCTAAACCCTTTCCCCAGCCTTATGAACTCTGTATTTTATTTCAGAATTATTTTCCTGTTGGGCACAGTAGCATTCACCTATAATCCCATCCTTTGAGAGCAATTTCAATTCTTATTTCTTACTCCTCTAGTCTATTATAGTATTTAGAACTTCCTTCTACAATGTTAAAGCGACAGCTATTATCCTTGGTTAATACTGAGTTCAGTAGTAACTTCCTAGATGAGTGTTTTAAGAATTGTCTTCTGGAGTGGGGCAGAGGGGTTGGGGAGCTTGGTAAAGCCTTCAGTCAAACTCCTCACATTTTCTTTAAAAAAAAGCAAAAAACAAAAAAAAAACACAAGCAACCAACCTCAAACTAGATAACAAACCTAAAATTAAAAATCTGAAACTCAATAATACTCTTAAAGAAAACTTCAGTCTTTCACAAAGATTACTTAGATACAGCTCCAAACTTGTGACACACAGATTTTGTAAAGCTGGACTTTATTCCAGTTTAAAACTGGGCATGATGGTCAAAGACTTGTAATCCCAGCACTTAGGCAGAGGCAGAGACAGAAGGACCACAGGAAGTTCAAGAGCAATTTAGTCTATACATCCAGAGCCTGTCTCAAAAAGGGGGGAGCTGGAGAGACAATTTGAGGAGATAGGTAGGTGAGGATTAACACCCAAAGTTGTCTTCTGACCTCAAACTGGGTGCCATGGCAGACAACACATATCTACACACATACACATTCACAAGAATTATTAAAAAAAAAGAAAAGAAAAAAAAAAAAAAGAAAGGGAGGGGAGGGAAGGAAGGAAGGAAGGAAGGAAAAGACTTCCAGCCTGGAGACATAGCTCAGTGTTTAAGAGCACTGTCTGTCCTTCCAGGACCCTGGCTCAAGTCCCAACACCCACATGGTGGCTCACAACATGCCTGTAAATCCAGTTCCAGTGAATCCAAGACTCTTTTCTATCCTTTGTGGGTACCAGGCACACAAATGGTGCACAGATATATATGTAAGGAAAACATCCCTACAAGTAAAATTAAATAAATATTTATAAAAATCTGTACTGCAAAAGGGGACACAGAAGAATGTAAGAACTAGAGATGGTGGTTAACTACAAGAAAACATCTTAGACACAGCAGGGCAATTCCACATATGAACTCATACTGGTTCCAAAAGCACACACATACATGTAACAAGCTGAAAGCAAACAAAATTCCAGCACAGAGATGGGGAATGGGAAACACAATCCCACACCTACCCATGGAGCATAGCAACTGTCTACTGCTAAGAGGGACAATTTTCTAGAGAGTACAGCCCCGGTTAAGTTGATCATGCTCCAGTGTAAAATTATGCATCCAAGATTATTTGGGCAACATAAACTGGTCTTGAAGGATTTAAAAATAAAAACAAAAGAACATAGAGTAAAGTGGACAGAGAACGAGAGGTTGATCTGGGAAGAGTTGGGGGAGGGGGCATAAGTGATCAAAACAGGCTATACAAAATCTCAAAGAACTAGTAGAAGTTAATAGGGGAAATAAAATGCCTGAACATGATTCATCTTATCTCACCAAAAATAAAAACCCAGACACAATATGCTCTCTAATATGACAATAAAGCATCGTCAATGGCTCAGATATGGAACTTTTAAAACAATGGGCAATTTCACAGTACAAGTCATTTTACAGGGCAAATAACTGAGGTCCTCCCATAAACCAATAACATAGAAAAGCAAAAGATGAGCAGCAATATTAGAAGATAAATAACGAACACAATTTGGATACTGTTTTAAAACTGCCAATAAAAGTGAGACAACTGGGAAAACCTGAATAAACTAGAAATAGATGAAATTAATTAGTGCCAAAATTCTAAAGTGCAATACTGACCTAAGTAGATCAGTTTAACAACATGTAGATGTACTCATGGTTATAATGTCACGACAGATGTTTGATTTTAAGTCTCTAACAAAAAGAAACAGCAAGGAACAGGACTTACTAAATGCTGTGAACAATTATGGATGAATATTCTACACCAAGGCTTCATTACAACACTACTTTCTGCATAATGTTTCAAAGTTTTAATTCAAAAAAGGCAAATACTCACCAATGAGATCACTTCGATCTAATAACAACTCTAGGTCTTCATCACTAATGATCTTCTCTCTTGATCCTTTTACTTCCCTATAAAAACAATATCCAAGTACTAAATTAAGAAACATTGCTGGAGCTGGAGAGAAGGCTCAGAGGTTAATTTAAGAGTTCTGGCTGCTCTTCTATAGGTCCTGAGTTCTGTTCCCAGCAGCTACATGGTGGCTAACTAACAACCATATATAATGAGATCTGGTGCCCTCTTCTGGCATGCAGGCATACATGCAGTCAGAACACTATACAAAATAAATAAATAAATCTAAAAAAAAAAAAGAAAAAGAGAAAGAAAAAATGAAATGTTACAGACTGGAGAGTTCAGAATTTAAAAGCCCTAATTGGTCTTCCAGAGGACCTGAATTCCATCTCTTCACACCCACCATGCAGCTCCTAACTGTCAATATTGAACTCTAGTTCTAGGGGATCCAATACCCTCGTCAGGTTTCTGTAAACATCAGACATGCAGATATACATGCAGGAGAAACATCTATATAGATAAAATACTAAAAATTAAAATTTTGAGCCAACAAAATGCTTCAGTGGGTAAAGGTGCTTGCCACCAGGCCTGACAACTTGAGCTCTATCCCCAGGACCCACATGGTGAAAGGAGAGAACCAACCCTTCCAAGTTGTCCTTTGACCTCCACACAGGCACAAGCACACTCTCGCTTTCTATCCACCTACCTATATAAATTATAATAAAATTTAAAGAAATTTTACCTTTCATAATCTCTAGATTTTAATAACTCCATTAATTCCTTAGGATCTAAGAAATTCTTAGATTGACTTAATCCAGACTGACCACCTTTGAAATGATCTGAGGAGGTAAAGAAAAACAAAACAAACAAATCAACAAATCCACACTATAAATTTCTTTGAAAACCATAATCTATTAAAAACCAGGAACAAGGCTTATAATTTGAAAGAAAATTTAACATTTACTGATTTATTTTGTATATAGGGATCCACTGTGCTATTTCATTGGCTGATAACTTTCAAAAGATGTTTTATTTTTGATTGTCAAAATGGAAGAAATGAAAACTCTTGGATCTTGCTGAAGTATAAATTTTTTTTGTAAATTTAGGAAAAGTTTAATACTTACTAACAGAAAAACACATAGCCCTTTTAAGAACAAATAAAGGCAACATATAAACAATGACTCAAACAATTATCTTATTCATAATAAATACAACTGGGGAACATTTCAAACGTCCATCAATAGAAAGGTAAATGAACTACTGAGTAAGACAAAATCCCTCTAATATATAGCATATAGATGAATCTCAAAATATGTTAAACAAAAGTAAATAGGAAAAAAAACCAAAACCACACAGCTGAACTGTTAAAGAAAACCATTTATTCTGTCACACTGACAAAATCCAAAACAGCATGTGTCAGAGAAGCACAGGGAATGACTGGAAAGGGTACAAGGAAACTTTCTGGAGTAGTCATTAAATTTTATACTTAACATTTATTTTATTATATGTATTTACTGTATTTCAGTAAGTTTGTATTTTTATATTCCTTAATATTTTATGAATTTAGTATCTTCGAATACTGAAAACAGACTTGAGAATACATAATCATGGATAAAAATCTTCAAAAACTAAAACTAGGTTCAACATTTAAAGAAATAATTTTTATCAATTTTCTTAAGTAACACAGGTTAAAAAGTTGTGAAAGACAAGGCTCATTTTACTCACTCTGAAATTTTTAACCACAATGTACATTTTCTACCAAGTCAGATTAATTCTCTCTCAAATCTAATCTGCTTTTCCATCAAAACCAACAAGAGTCTGATGATCTGAATTCAATGCCTGGAGTCGTATAAAGGTAGGAGGACAAAATCCATTCTAAAATTATCCTCGACCACTACACCAGTGGGCGCATACACCCACAGACACACAACCATGCATAAACACAAAATAATAAAGAATATGAAATTAAAAGATAAAATAAGCCAGACAACATAAGGTATGTGCAGGCAGATGAGTATTGTAAAATCAGTAAGAAATGACTTTAAACATTACTTTTAAGATCAAGATCCTCTAATTTCTCTAGCCTTAAGAGAAACAATTTCAACTTTTCTTCAGGTAGCCACTGTACTACTTAATAAAATAGAAATTTATGTTAAATGAATAAAAACAGAACTATCCTTGACTGGACAGTGGTGGTGCATGCACTTGGGAGGCAGAGGCAGGTGGATCTCTGAGTTCAAGCCTGATCTACAGAGTGAGTTCCAGGACAGCCAGGGATACACAGAGAAACCCTGTCTTGAAACAATTAAAAAGAACCATCCCAAGAAATTGGGAAGCTCCTCACTCAAGTCATTTTCTTCTTCAAAAAAATCTATTCTACATTAAATAGAATTTGATAATACTACTATGATATACCATTAGCATTTAATATTTAGTACACTGAATGCTCTTAAGTTTTAAAGCTTTTGGTAAACAAATATCTTACCAGAAATATACACTAGCATTATGTTAAATTTTATACAATGGATTTGGGGACATTATACCCCAAAGGGTCATTATCCTTGACCCTTTCCCTCAGCAGTTATCTAATCACAGAGGTTCTTTCTGTCTATGGACAACTCAATGTACTGTTAGTAGCTGCAAATCCTATTACACATTTAAATCCTGACATGAAGCTGTATTAATTTTCTTTAGAAAGTAACAAAAATGGTAATTCTCAACACACAAAATGAACAACGAAAGCACAAATTTTACCATGTAACAATCATTTACAGGGCTGGAGAGATGGCTCAGGTTTAGAGCACTGGCTGCTTTTACAGGGGACCTAGGTTCAATTCCCTGCACCCACATGGAGGTTCACAACCATCTGTAACTTCAGGTTCAAGTGAGCCAACACCCTCGTCTGGCCTCCCTAAGCACTAGGCTTGCACATGGGGGACAGACATCTATGCAGGCAATACACTCACACACAAAAATAATAAAATAAAAATACTTTAAACAAGTTAAAAATCATTTACTTTTATGGATGATAAGCTTCTCCAGTTTTCTTTTAGCAGCTGCTCTTTCCACAATTTTCTGATCAATAGTATTAGCTGTTACAAGGCGATATACAACAACTGGCTTTGTCTGACCAATTCTATGACATCTATCTTGGGCCTGGAGATCAGACTGGGGATTCTTAAAGTTGAAAAGAAAGGTACAGTTAGCAGAATTATGTTAAAATTAACTTAAGCTTTTGGGGCAGTTGTGGCACACACCTTTAATCCCAGCACTAAGGGAGGCAGAGGCAGGTGGATCCCTGAGTTCAAGGCTAACTTGTTTATAGAGCGGAGTTCCAGGACAGCCAGAGATATACAGAGAAACCCTGTCTCAAAAAAACAAAACAAAAAAACCAAAAAACAAACAAAAACAAAAAACCTTAAACTTAAGAAAGCCTCATAAAACAATAATAATGCACATTATCTGACGAGAAACTTCCTAATGGTTCTTAGATGCACTTTAACTTCCAGAATGGCTGCATGAATTGCCACGCACACAGGACAGTTGTAAAAATTTCTACATTAATGCTCCCACAGGTGCCAGTGAGATGGCTACGTTGGTAAAGCCTGACCACCTCTGTTTAATCCCCAGGATTGACATGGTGGAGAGAACTAACTTTTATATGTTGTGCTACTTTTGTCTCTGTCTCTCTCTCTCTCTGACTGTCTGTCTGTCTCTCTCTCTTTCACACACACACACTAAATAATGTGAATTAAAATGATTTAAATACTCTGAAAATATTGTTTTTATAGGCAGACAACTTGTGAATAATTCCTACCTGCAAATAGGCACTTTTCAAAATAGATAAATGAAACTGCAATATATGTAATAAAGGATAAAAATTTCAGAACAGAAATATAGTCAGCATATTGCTGTACTTCTTACCCAATCACTGTCATAAATGATAACCGTATCCGCTGCAGTCAAATTAATGCCTAAGCCACCAGCTCGTGTACTCACTAAGAAAAGAAAAACATCTGGATCCGTGTTGAAACTGTATATCTAAAGCAAAAGGAACATTAACAAAACATTTGAAAAAGAAACTAACTTTAAAAATGACTGAAGTGGAAGACATTTATTTTAAAAACTACTGCTAAAGCTAGGAAACAATTATTTTCACTAATAAAACCTCTGCTTGTATAAAATTTGCTTTTCAAGCATTTACATTCTGCAAGATATTTTTATTTTTGTTAAAGCTATATATCATACCCAATATAAAAAAAAAGCAGAAAATGGTTAAAAGATGGCTTAGTCAGTAAAATATCTGCAAGATGATCTGAGTTCAGATCTGCTGTGGGATAATAAAACACTGATTGGCCAGTAGCCAGGCAGGAAGTATAGGTGGGGTGAGCAGACTAAAGGAATGCTGGGAAGACAAAGGCAGAGAGTCAGGAGTCGCCAGTCAGACACAGAGGAAGCGATGACAAGGCAGAACTGAGAAAAGGTACCAAGCCACGTGACTAAACAGATAAGAATTATGGGTTAATTTAAGCATAAGAGCTAGTCAGTAAAAAGCCTGAACTAATGGCCAAGCAGTTATAATTAATACTTCTGAGTGATTATTTTATAAGCAGCTGTGGGACCTCAGTGCCGGGTGGGATAGAGAAATTCTCTAACTACACAGACCCCTGGCATCTATGAAAACACTAAGTGGCAGCCATGGTCACTAATGACAGAGCTGGTAGGAGAAACTGAAATGGCAGAGACAGGCTGATCCCTGGAGCTTTCTAGCCCACAAGCTTAGCTAATTAATGAGTTTTACCTTTAATGGAGTAAGACATTTAATGTCTTCATTACTTCGGTGCATGCACATGTGCACACCTATACAACCAACATATACATAAACCAACACACACACACACACACACAATGGAAACAGTGTAAGAAACGAGATGGATAGAAAAGGTTGCCTGACTAGGAAGAAGCAGCACACACTTTCTGGGCTTATGGTAATTTCGATCTCATTAGTGGTATGGAAAAAAATTTGTTCATGTCTGTCAAAAACAACAATACATACTTTATTTGATTCATAAGTAACTCTTATCCTAAAACATATGTAAAAGTCAATGAAGAATATACAATTTAAATGCATCAAGAGGACAGATAGTCATGTGTAATGGTTCACACTTAAACTTATAATCCCAGCACTACAGAGACTGAGGCAGGAGGAGTGCTCTAAATCTGAGCCACACTCTGGTTCAAAGCTGGCCAGGACCATATACTGCAATGTGTCTCAGAAAACCAACACTGCCCAGCAAAATAGCTCTGTGGGTAATGGCTCTTATCTCCAAGCTCAACAACCTGAGTTCACTCCCTGTAACTCACATGATGGAAAACACATATAAAGAAATGCTTTAAAAATAGAGGCTGGAGATAGTGTAGTGGGTAAGAGTGCTTATTGCTCTCCCAGTGGCTGGGATTCAGCTCCCACAGATTGTATACCCACTGCTAGGCTTCACAGGCACCAGGTATTCATGTGCTGCACAATACATACAGGCAAAACACTCATACATACAAAATAAACATAAATCTTTAAAAAAAAAAAAAAAAAAAAAGCCAGGCAGTAGTGGCTCATACCTTTAATCCCAGCACTTGGGAGGCAGATGCAGGTGGCTCTGAGTTCGAGGCCAGTATGGTCTACAGAGCGAGTTCCAGGACAGCCAGGGCTACAAAGAAACCCTATCTTGAACAACAAATAAACAAACGACAACAACAAAAATAAATGAAGGAGTGTTGAGTAGATACAATGGACTGTTGTATCTCAGGTGTGATGAAAAGGAACAATGGTGTGTTAATGGCAGGTTCTGGATAGAATAATAGTAGCCAACTAAGAAATTCTTCTGACACATACTTAACATTTTCATGCTAAAAGTTGAAAACTGGGATAAAAATCAGAAAACAATGCCTTATTATCCCAAAGTTATTACAGTAGTGGTTGAGTAAGTAGGATATTATTATATCTAAGACTGTGCCAGAAAATGACATGTATATAGGTATGAGACTCAAAAACTAAGATGTTAGTACTAAATTGAAATGCTTGTCCTTAATCCTACCACAAGAGTTTTGGTCATATTATTTCAAAAATGAAGATAGAAGTTACAATAAAGAAATTCATATGTATGGTCTTACATTTTTTTCTCTTCCTGAATAAGACATGGACCCATCAAGTCTGCTAAATGTGAAGTTTCTAAGATGACAATAATCCATCAAGATGTCCAGCATGCTTGTCATTTGTGAAAAAACCAGCACCTGAAATTTAAATACATCTTAATATCTATACTGACTCACAAAAAACTAAATGGTTAAAATTCTAATCAGAAATACCTAACCTTGTGACCTCTTTTTTTCAGTTCTGGTAGCATTCGATCCAAAACTAAGAACTTCCCAGAATTTGTTACCAATTCTTCATCAATCTTAAAAGTAGACAAGAAAAAGGAAGAAAATTGTTACTATAATCACCAATCATTCGCCATTTTAATAGTTCACTTTTTTTTCTGGTTTCTTGATACAGGGTCTCCCTGTGTAGCCTTGGCTAGCCTCTATCTCAAGTGGTACGAGTGCTGGGATTAAAGGCTTGTGCTACCATATCCAGCCTTAACAGTTCAATTTTTAATGACAAGATACTATTCAATCTTTTTAAATTGAAAGTTACTTTTTAAGAAAAAATAAATAAAAGACTCTAAAGGGGAAAAAAAACAGTAACTGACACTAAAAAATTAGGTTAAAGTAGAATTATGAACTTATCCATGAAATATGATCGACATTTCCTATTACTCTCTCTAAAGCTTTGTATAGTCAGGTGATGTGGCACATGTCTGTAATCCAAGCACTTTGGAGGCAGAGGTAGAAGGATCAAAGTCCAAGGCTAGCCTCAGTTATATAAAAAGCCTTGGGGCCAGCCTTGGTTAAAAAATAAAATTGGAGGCTGAAATAATAATAGCTCAGTGGTTTAAAAAGGCTTGCTGCTATTGCAGAGGACCACGGTTCAGTTCCCAGCATCCACATGGCCAAAATCCATAAACCCTAATTCCAGTTCCAGGTCCCTTCTTTTGACATAAACAGGCATGAGGCATACATGATGCATATACATACATACATTCATACACATAAGATAAAAATTAAAATCCCAAACAAAATTAGAAAAGCATTACATAAGAAAACAGTAGTTCATACACGTACGTATGTGTTGAGGTTTGTTCTGCACAACTCAGTAAAATGTGTATAAAAATTATGGTCAGAACTTAGTAGAAATTGAAGAAAACACAGGAGTTGTAACAATCTAATGATGAAGGCTAAAGAAACATTTCACTAAGGACCAGCAAGTAAAAGCACATGTCAGGCATCTTAATTCCAGTTCCAGAGGTTCTGGTCTCTTTTGGCATCCTCAGACACATGTGTACAAACCCACCCAGACAAACAGGCATATACATATAACTAAAAAATAATCATGCCCAGGTGAGGTGGCACACAGCTTGAATCCCAGCACAGATAGGCAAAGACAGGTAACATAAATATCTTGTGAATTTTAGGCTAGCCTGGTGTACAGAGTAAGTTAGGCAAAGACAGGTAACATACATATCTTGTGAATTTTAGGCTAGCCTGGTGTACAGAGTGAGTTCCAGGCTACATAGTTAAGACCCTATCTCAAGAAAGAAAGAAAAAATTAAGTGAATGAAATGAAATAGCATAGTATTTAATCTATCAAACAAAATGTTTTGCCTCAATACTAAAAAAAGAAAACAAAACACTAAATTATTAAATGATATTTACCTTAAACTCTTGTGTGACAGGGTCAATAGGGTATTCAATCAGATATGGATGATTGCAGCATTTACGAAGTAGCATCATTATGTTCTGTAGTTTCAAATTAACTTCAGATTCTTTAGGGATATTAACATCCACAATAGTCCTACCAAAAACATAGCATGTAAGTATGACAAATGTAAAAAACACATTTTAAATATCTAAAGTTACTGTTAAACTCTTACCTTTCTCTGTTTATATCTGGCTGTATTTGACTTAGTAGTCTTTCTAATTCATTAGGGAATTCATCTTGTTCCCTGTAATTTATTGATTTTCTACTTCGCCGTTTTGGTCTTCCAGTAGGACTTAGCTCAATTGTTTCCTTCTAAAGAGAATATATAAAAAGCCACCTGCTTTAAAACTCTGTTGAAGTTCTAAATATGAATAAAGTATACTTTTATGTATACCTGATAATCATGCATCCCATTCCAACTCCTTTAATATGGTGGATGTTATATAAAAATTTCAAATACTCTCAAATCCTCTTGGTTACTGATACCTCCTTAGAAAGGAAGCACATAGTTGGAGGGAGTTGGTCTGGTTGATAAGCCTTTAGAAAAGTGACTCTCAAAGATTTTGTAGTTGTAAAAATGGACTTCTAAGGGTGTGGGAGTTTGTGGGATATAGGAGGGCAAATCTGGTCAAAATACATGATACACTTGAATGAAAATGTCTTTATGAAACTCATTACGACATATGATGAATATATGCTTCTTAAAGTCCATTCTCTAGATGATGATGATGATTAGTCCTTTTTGTTTTATAGTACAAAGGATCATCAAACGCAGGCTGCTACCCATTATATGTAAGTTTTAAATAGTGTATTATTTATTTAACTTTATTTTATGTACACTGGCATCAGAGCCCCTGGAACTGGAGTTACAGACAGTTGTGAGCTGTCATGTGGGTGCTGGGAATTGAACCTGGGTCCTCTGGAAGAGCAGCCATTGCTCTTAACTGCTGAGCCTCTCTCCAGCACCTAGATATGTAAATTTTAAACAAGTACTTCCAATGACCACAAAACAAATTATACTGATGATCATTTAAAGTTTAGGAGGACTGTAGATAACAGAAAGTACGTTTTGCTTTGGGCCGTATTTACCCACAAAGTCCTGAAAATAGGTGAGGAGGCAAAACACTAAAATCAGTCATGAAATTTTAAGTTATCTCATCTACAGTTATTTCAAACTCACAATTACCTCACAAGAACCAAACATGTTTGCAATTGTGCGGTTCACAATAGCTGTATAGAAGATCTCTTGTTTGTTGGAAAGTGGTGCATAAACAACTACTTCTCGCTTAGGAGGGACTTCAAGAGCAACATCAGACTTCAGTCTTCTCAGTAGAAAAGGAGTTAAAATCTAAAATTTAAACATGAACAAATAAATCTTCTTCTTAACTATCTTGAGAATTCTTCCTAAAGTATCTCCTTGAGATTTCCCCATACCAGACCAGCACTTGATAACTTATAAACACATATACACCCACAGACATCATTACAAGTTTACACTAATTGTTGGATGTGGATGCACATCCCTTAAATCTAGCATTCCAGTGGCAGAGAAGCAGGTTAATCTGAGTTAGAGGCCAACCTGATCTACAGAGATCTACATGTCTTGGGGAGGGGAAAAAGTTTACATAAATATATGTTGAAAAAGAAAATATTTGCAACATATAGGCCAGGAAGTTACTTGTAGCACACATGAGGAACCATTGAGAAATAGATACTAAAACATGTAATTCACAAAATTCACAAGATCCATAGACATTTGAGTATCTCAATTCTTTGGTGTGGTAATGAGATTAAGCTCAGGTTTATATAAATTATTTTCAACTTTGGTTTTAAAAGATTTCTAATCCTCCAAAATTGTTGTGTATACAGAGTCAACTAGTTTCATTTTAAATTTTTTTCCATGCAATTTTTGTAGATATATAAATTCTTTCTGGGCAACAATTGCCTGTTTTTGCAAAGCCTTATGTAATACATTAGGGAAATAGCTCAATGGTAGAGTGCTTGTCTGGTACACACTACCACAGTAAAGGCGACGGATGGTCTAAAATTTAGATGAAAGAATCAATGGAAATTTTTCAAGCCCTTTAACCCAGAAATCTCTTCTAAGAAAATAGAAAATGGGAATAGATTTAAGTGCAGATATTTTAAACTTATTTATAATACAGGAAAAATTGATATAAAGTATATATAATTAATTATAGAGGGGCAGGACAACAGGATATAAAGCATAGTTAAAATCCAATGCGCCTGCTCAGCACTATTCCCAGCACTCCAGACAGAGGCAGGCCAATCTCATGTAATAACTATCAAATCAAAGGCCACCCTTCTATATATATATATAGACAGGCTAGCCATGGCTACAGAGAAAGATCCTGTCTTTAAAAAATAAATAAGATAAAATATAAGGTGCTAAATATTCACACAGGAAAAACTTTAATCTCTTTTAAAGCAAAGTAAAAGTAACTTCTGTAATGAAAAACTGTTTAACTCACAAAATACAGATAAATAAAGGTTTATACAGTGACAGGTGAATACAAGGACATAAAACACAAGCATAACTGGTAAAGAGGCTGAATGGACAAAGGATTATTTTTATTTTCTACTGTTTCACCTATATTTAATGAGCACGTATCTTTGAAAGAAAAATAATTTTAAAAAACTGAATAAATTTTTCGAGCACATTCAAAATGTTTCCAAGACTGGAAGATGAGCTTTGAAAGCTTATTTGTCTAAAGTAAACACAAGTATGACGGATAGGTAGATTGCAGATGGATAGAACAGGAATTGCAGGAAGCATGAAACACAAGTGGATTAGACACTAGCCATGTAAGGAAGTAAACCACACAATTATAGGCAAATATTGCATGAACCTACATATTTTTACTGTCTAGCTGATAAACAAAATAAAATGATAAACCAATAAAAGTAAATGAATATATATTTTTTTTAAGAAAGGCAAAATTTAGGTGAGTATTTGAGTTTCTGCCATAAATCCATGTGACAAGCCAAAGTAGGAAAAGGGCAATTAAATTTAGGGTAACTCACTGTTCAAGTCTCTACTACAAAGGTTAAGACTAGAATTCCTTATTTATTTTATACGTATAAAGTGAGCAGAATAAGGAGGTTTGGCACCTGGTGAAGCATATGTAAAACATTCTGTTCTCTCTCTTTAGCTATAATATCTTCAGCAGTTTCAGAAAGACTAGTGATGTCAAACCAAGACTCAAAGCTGGAAAAGAAAAATGATTACAAGTTAACCTACTACATGAATACAATTTACACTAATTACACAACACCATACATGTTTACAATTTCATATTTTTAATTTTCTTTAGATTTTTGAGATGGATAGGGTCTCATTTAGCCCAGGCCGAACTCAAATTCACTATATAGCCAAGCATGACCATGAACTCCTGGTCTTCCTAAACTCTCCTGCTGATATTACAGGCATGTGCCACTATACACAGAATCAATTTCATATTAGCTTATGTATTATGAAACAGAAACATTGTTCCAACAAATATTCAAGAGGCAATTTTTAAAATTCAATTAAAATCTGCATTCAATGAAGAGAAAATAATTATTCTGAAATCTGAAAGGGGACATTTTTTCCTAAAAAAAAAAAAAAAAAAAGACATAATCATATACAAGTCAAATACAGATCATGGAATTTTTTGAGTTTTTTTATTTATATTTATATTTATTTATTTATTTATTGCTTGGTTGCTTTATTTATTTATTTATTTTTTGCTTAGTTACTTTTGTCCTGCTAACAATAGAAGCCAGGGCTTCATTCAAGTATGCTAAGCAGAACTTTTTCACTGAGCTGTATCTACAGCACACATTTATGAAACATTCATAGATAGTTATAGAAGTGACAATGCTCTTTTTGAAAACCAAGGCTAAATGGTATTTCTCTACAGGTATAAATCTAACAAATGGCTGTTACATGTACATGCATGAGTAGATGTGATGCTAAGGCTGGAACACAGGACCTTCTATAACAACAACTTATATCCGAAGCTCTTGGGTTTTGGTGACAGTGTCTGGCCATATAACTTAAGCTGGCTTTGAACTCTTGATCCTCCTTCCACCACACAGGGATAACAGGCATGCACTACCACACATACCGTCCAATGTTTTCAAGGTCAATATAACTATAATGTTTAAGTGGAAAAAGGGATAAACGATGTATCTTAGTTCTTCCCTATGTTGAAAAGGGGGAATGGTATAAGAATGCAGATATTCATAAGTAGACCACATTTCCTCAAATAGAGACCACTTGATGTATGGTTTTGAAAATTAAGATTTTCAACTAGCACCTTGAAATCTAATTCGTAGATCTTCATAAGTTTATCCTTTAATAAATATGCATAGTCACAGTAAGAGCTTGGCCTTATGCCAGAGTTTAATAATCAGACTCAGAATACATTTTCAAAATAAAATACCAAGTTGCCCATATTCAATTAGCCTTCTTCCCTCACTAATGCCAACATAAATATAATTTAATTATTTGATCTCAATTTTTTGCTTTATTTCATATTAATTTTTTGTACTAATGTAATATTTTTCAATTCTGAAGATACTAGTCTCTGAAAGCTTTTGGAAAATATAATTTGAAATTCAAATATATAAACAGTAACAGTATTAGGTTTAAGTTGGGAATTTTCAAGTTCTCTCTGGTACTAACTAGTCATATTTAACAACTTCCATCCAGATTTCCGTACATGAAATAAACAACAAACATAACCTCTTCAACTGACTGAGCTATTCTATAAATGGAATTATCCACATGAAAGTATTTTAGAAAGCTAAGATAAAGTCTTATACTCACGTGAGTACTGAAAAGCTCATGTTTCACTACTTTTCTTTAGGAAAAATATTTTAAAGTATTGTTTTTTGTAAATGTAAAATTACTTATTTGTGGAAGGGGTGTACACATGTGCCATAACACAAGAAAGGAAATAGAAAAGCAAAGTGCAGAAGCCACTGCCTCCTTCCACTGGTGTGGGCTTTCAAGACTGAATTCAGGCCTTCAGATTTGGTGACCTTCACTTGCTGAGCCTTCTTCCCAGTCCCTTAAGGATTATTTTTGCTTTCCTTTAATCAATCTAAACGTTTTAAATTCTTATCTTCTCTCACATATATTCCATCAAAAGTAGAAAACATAATATAGAGCACAAAGAATTGGCTAAAATATCATTTCAATTCAGCTACAAAAAAAAGGAATGAATTTCAGCTAAGAACACAGGTTTTTGAGGCTTAAAAAAAAAAAAAAAGAAAAAGCAAAAAAAGAAAACAAATAGCTGCCTTACCTACCTTTTCAAGTCATCAAATACATCTGGCAACAAAAAGTTTAGCAATGACCAAAGTTCTGATAAATTGTTTTGCAAGGGAGTACCAGTCAAAAGAAGTTTGTTATCAGCATTGAACCGTTTTAATTCCCTGATTAGCCGGCACTTCATATTCTTAATCCTGTGTCCTTCATCTACTATTAAGTATTTCCAATAGCAATGCTAGAAAATGAATCAAGGAAAGAAATTTTAAGAATCAATCTCATAATTTTTTCCCAAAAAATACTTCTAACCATAAGACTTTTCTTATCAGGGACATTTATAGAATTCCATCAGATGTCATTTTACTACCTACTGGGATTATTTTTTTCTCCTGTTGCCATAATAATAGTTAAATTCATAAACCCCGTGTCAATTACGTTCCTAGAATACACTTCACTGGAAATCCCCCTAATGTCATGTGTTAATATTTTCCTCATTCTGAAGTCAAAATCATGTTTAGCTTTTCCCCATGGTGCTTTGTCACATGACATTAGAGTCTTGGAAAACTGGTATCAAAATAATAATGGAATAATGAAGGGAAAAAGAAAAATCTCCCATTCATCACATGTACTCCAAAATCTGGTTTTATTACTTATTTTTTACTTTTGTTTTGTTTGTTTTTTGTTTAGATGGGGTATCTCTATGTATCCCTGGCTAGCCTAGATCTCAGAGATCCATTCACCTGCCTATGTCTCCTGAGTGCTAGTATTAAAGGCATGAAACACAAAGACCAGTGTGCTCCAAAAGCATTTTTAGAATTTTCATTTTGAGACCTACATATACATATAAGGCTGATAATCTTTTTTTTTTTTTTTTTTTTCCCCTGAGACAGGGTTTCTCTATGTAGCTTTGCACCTTTCCTGGATCTCGCTCTGTAGACCAGGCTGGCCTTGAACTCACAGAGATCCACCTGGCTCTGCCTCCCAAGTGTTGGGATTAAAGGCGTGAGACACCACCACCCGGCTGATAATCTTTTTTTTATTTTCTGTTTTTTTCAAGATAGGGTCTCACTATGAAGCTCTGGCTACCCTGGACCTCACTATACAGACCACACTGGACTCGAACTCACAGGGATCTACCCACCTCTACTAGGATTAAAATGTGCACCATTATGCCTGGCTGAAATTGACATTTTTTTTAATCTGGTAACTTCCCTCATTGATTTTAGGTGTTTCCTATCCTCAGAAGCCAAATTTAGCAATTAATATTTTCAAAAAAACGCCACATTTTCATAAGGCCCTAAAAACTGTTCTCTCAATTTGTCCTTCCTTTAATGTTGATCAAGGAAATAAAATCCACTTAATTATATAGTAAATAAATATGCATAATTTCTGGAAACAGACATCAAACTATCAAGCCAAGATAGCCTTGCCAGTGTGATTAGCTAAAAACACATTAAAGAAAAAAAAGTGACTGCAGAGATGGCTTAATGGCATTTGTTGCAGCTGGGTGGGTGACGAAAGCCTTTAATCCAGCACTGGGGGGGGTTATTATATAAAAAAAATATGAAATGAGGTACATTTAAACTTTACACAGTAAATTCCTAACAGAAGGAAAAAAGTATTACTACTTTTTAAATGTAACAATTAAAGGGGTTTACTTTTCTGGTAACATAAAAAGCCAAGTAATCTGAATAATCTCTCACTACAAAACTTTCATTTAAAAGTGCAACATAAAATACAAAACACCCTTTATAAATAAGTAAGTGAAAGACAAGAAAGAGAAAAACCAAGGAGGGAAATAAGATGAAACCTGGAAAAGTAACTAGTAAGTTACTGATTACCAGTGAGAAAGCACGGATGCCTTTGCTGTCATCAACAGCAACCTCAGCCCCATCACCAACTAAAATAAAATCCTGGCAACAGTTCAATGGCTCAGTGGGAAAGAGAAAAAATTTCACAACAGCAAAAGGAACTGGCAAGCAAGTTTCATCATCAATATAGGCAAGATAAAGAAGAAATAAATCATGAGTCGCCAGGTTACATGTTTAAATAAGAATCAAGTTAAAAAAAAGAGAATTACACGCCTTTAATCATAGCACTCGTGAGGCAGAGCCAGGAGGATCTCTGTGAGTTGGAGGCCAATCTGGTCTACAGAGCGAGATCCAGAACAAGCACCTAAACTAGAGAAACCCTGTCTCAGGGGAAAAAAAGAGAATGTACAGTATGATTTATGAATAAATTGTATCTGTTACCTCAACAGTAGTTACTTAGCCCAAAACTCTTATTTAGAATTACAAGTACTCCATGTATTACTTGAAGCATGGTTTCACTATGTAATGCTGGCTGGCCTGGAACTAGCTATGTGGACCAGGTTGGACACAAACTCAAGAGATCTGTGTACGACTGCCTGCCAAGCATAGGGATTAAAGGGATGCAAAAACCGCGCCAAGCCATATATCTTTCTTCTATAAATATGTTTACTGTAAAGAAATGGCTTTTAGATTGTGTGTGTGTATATTTGTGTGTGTGTGTGTGTGTGTGTGTGTGTGTGTGTGTGTGTGTGTGTCCGTGTCCTTGAAGACAAGATGTAACTCTGTGGCGGTCCAGGCTAGTCCTAAATCAAAGCAATCCTCCTGCCTCTGCCTTATGAGTACTAAGATTAGTCATGATGCCAGCTGCTATCGCTAATTTTTAATGGTATGCATTTTATTAAATTATGGAGCTATGGCTATTGTCAAATCATATTCAACGGTACCACACACACAAATGGAACATTTGATAAACACTGCTTGTGAGCGTATTAGACATTACAACTCCTCTTACAAGCTGTGCGCTTTGATGTCATATTGAAGCCATTATCTATGCTACTTTCTTTACTTCATGTAAGATAAAGCTAAGGGTTTGAGAAGTGGTGGCACATGCCTCCAATGCCAGCACTCTGGAGGCAGAGGTCCGTGAATCTTTGCATTCGAGGCCAGGTAGATCTGCAGTGATTTTCAGGACAGCCAGGGCTATGTATAGCCCATCTTAAAAATAAATAAATAAAACAAAGAAAAGAAAGAAAAAGCTAAGGAGACTCACTCAGGATGAACTTACATGATCAGAAGGAAATGCAAAGCAGTAAGAACTACATGCAATTCAGATGGAGTATTGAGGGGGAAAGGCAATTAACTGCATTGTAAATAAAACATGAACATTAATAAGTAAGAAGCTAGAACAATAAAGAAAAAGGACAGAATATCATTCACAGTCCTGAATATTCTATTCACATTTGAATAAAATTCGACCAATAAATCCAAACTACTGTGTCTCAAATTTACCTATGACATATTTATAGAGCAGATTTATGTGTGGCTGATTCTAATACTTTAATATGGCCAGTTTAAAATGCCAGTCTTTTAATTCTACCAAGAGACAAAAACCTCTATCACAATCATCACAAGCCTCCAGTTTCTAAAGGAAATGCAAAGTACATTACTTAAACAACAACGAAACAAATTATTACTGGATAGTAATAGTATGAATTAAAAATCTGACTCATTAACTACAACCATCTGTACCTGTAAAGCATTCTGGTCTCGCATGGCTATTTCAAATGATGTGATTACCACAGGATGAATCTGCAGGGTCCCTTGTCTTTTGTGGATATTCTTTACCAATTTCCGACGTTCCTCCCGGGTTCCATGATACAACATAGTAGGAATCTACAAGATTATATTGATTCAGAACAAAATATAAATGAGTTGGAAAATATAGAAAAGTCACTTTCTAAAAGATAATTTTAGTTCTGTACTTCCTATGACAAAATAAGTCAACTTAATAAATCACTGGACTAAAATAAATGAAAATAAAAAAAAAAAAAAAAAGAAGCACCCCAAAACAAAAAAGTTTATGAGGCAGATGGGTAAGCCACTTTTGGAACATATTCTTCTCATTCTCAAGGCAAGAACATTGATAAGATAGCATGTGTATGAAGGACTTTTGCTTCACTTGAAAACAAGCACTTAGAAATAAGAGCAAAAATAAATCTTTTGCAATCCAGAACTCATTATTTAATGAACTGACATATACAAGAAGGAATATTACTGGAGGGACAGAGGAGATAGCATGCATTTGGGTAAAAGAAAAAATTCATGGAAGAGTAACATGAGGAAACTAGAGAAACAACTCAGCAGTTAAGAGTACTTGCTGCTCTTTGAGAGGACATGATTCCCATCCCCAATTCCCACATTATGGCACACAAGTCTGTAACTCCAGTTCCAGGGGATTTGATGCCCTATATTGGCACCAGGTGCACATATGGTGCACATTTAAAAATGATTTTAAAAATAAAAAGAATAAATGTGACATGCTGAGCAGTCAAAAGCCTGAGGAAGCAGGACTGCAGCAAATCCAAGCTCAGACTGGGCTAAACCTATCTGAAACAATGTCTCAACAAAACAAGCAGAAAAATAAACATGATAAAGAAATTTTGTTTTATGTAGATGTGTCTCAGATTAATCGATCTGTGAAATCCCAAAAACAATCTAAGGAAATTTTCAGCAAAATGTATCAGACTACCAATCCCATAAACCAAAGAAAAGTACTGTTTAAATTGAGTAAGACAAATCAGATGCAATTTATATGGAAATCAATTTAATTACTATGGGTGACCTATAATTCAAAAAAAACAAAAAAAAGTATGCAATAATAATAAATAATATTAAGAAAATATATTTTACCTCTGGGGTAAATCTTTTGAATTCAGCCATCCAATTTGGAAGTGTAGACAAAGGGCCACAAACAAGAAAAGGTCCAGGTACTCCCCTCTGAATCATTAATGCAATTGTAGCAATGCACTGAACAGTCTTTCCCAAACCCATTTCATCTGCTAAAATGCCATTAATTCCATTTTCCCAAAGCATCTGGACAAAAGAATACACTGTATGTAAATGTGAATGCAAACATTTCCTAAATTAACAAAGGATTCTTTTTAAAAAACACAATCAAAACTATGAGTCCAACATAATAAATTTTAAGTTAAGAAAAGTCCTTTATCAAGGCCACAAAGTGGTGAGGGTCTGACAAGTTAATTTTCACTTTAAAGCACTCAGAAAACACATATAAGGGACTGGGAAAAATGACTTAGCAGTTAAGACCACTTGCTTCTCTCCAAAGTTCAGATCCTACCACCTAAAATGGGTAGTTCATAATCACCTGCAACTCCAGCCACAGAGAATCAAATGCACTCTTAAGGCTTCTGCACCGTCCAATATACAAGTACAGTACACATGCACACCCCCCATATGCATATATAATAAATCTTTAAAAAATACAAATATTTCCTATACTAAAATAAAGCCTGGGTAGTGGTATATAATGCTACTAAATTATTAGAGAAAAGACTATATGCAGCATCAAAAATGACAACTCAAGGGGCTGAAAAGATGGCTCAGTGATTAAGAGCACTGCCTGCTCCTCCAGAGGTCCTGAGTTCAATTCCCAGCAACCACATGGTGGCTCATAACCATCTATGAGATCTGGTGCCCTCTTCTAGCATGCAGGCATACATGCAGATAAAGCACTCAAATATAAATATATTTAATATAAAAAAGAAAAATGACAACTCCGGATGAGGCATGGCAGGGCACACCTTTCATCACAACACTCAGTAAGCAGAGAAAGGTGAACCTCTGAATTCCAAGGGTACTGAGTTCTGGGTCAACCAGAGCTACAAACTTAGGCCACCGTCTCCAAACAACAAAAAAACAGGAAACAAAAGAGCTGGGAAATTGGCTCTGTAGGAAAAGAGCTTACTGCAAAAGCCTAATGAACTGAGTTTGGAAACCCAGAACCCACATAAAAGCTGGGCACAGTAGTGCATGTGCACCTGTAATCCCTGCACTCCCACAAAAAGATAAGAGGCAAAGACAGGAGAATTTCTATATGCTCCTGAGCCAGTGAGCAGAGCACTTACACTCATACACACACACACACACACACACACACACACACACACACACACACACACACACAGGCAATTGAGCCAGGTTTGATAGTGCATGCTTGCAACACCAGCACCTGAAGAAGCAGATGCAACAGGACCAGGAGTTCAAGTTCATTCCTGACTCACCATTTCCAGGCCAGCCTGTTACACAAAATCTTACCTTAAAAACAAAATGTGCCAAGGGGATGGCTCAGCAAATAAAAGCCCTACTCTGCAAGCTAGAATACCGACTTCAATTCCCAGGCCCATCAAGGTGGAAAGATTACCCCAAAGTTACTGACACGCCCTCACACCACACAACATGGCAGCACATGAGTCAACACACACACACTAATAATAATAATAATAATAATAATAATAATAATAATAATAATAGAAAATAAAATTTGGAAAGGCAAAATAACTTAGCAGATACAAATGTTTGCTATGCAAGCCTGCTGACCTAAGTTCAACTGTCAAAATCCACATAAAGGTAGAAGAGAACTAACTGCACAAAATCATTTTCTGATATCAGCATGTGCTGTGGTACACACCCCAACCTCCACATAGACACAATAATAGAATTTAAAAAAAGAAAAAAGAAAAGAAAATTCATTACCCTAAGCCATTCCATGCCTTCTACTTGGTACCACCTCATCACTCCTCCTGTGAAGTGTTTTGGTTGTTGAAAAGGTACAGGTTGTCCGTTACATTTCCGAACTGGGTCAAAAAAGGATTTAGAATTCTGCCTAACGGTTTGAGACAATCTATCTTTAATCATACTATTCGAATCCTTATTTTTCTGAAGATCTTCTACACAGAGATTAGTAGTGGAAGAGCTTTCATCCTGCAATAAGAAATATTTAATTAAAAGGTTGGTATTAAATGCTGCTAACAAGCTGGTGACATAGCTCTCAGTGGGTAAAAAGTACTTGCTATGCAAGCCTAGAGTTCAGAGTTCGAACATAAAGAATGAGAAAATCACTGATATCAAAGTTGTCCTGACTTCCAAATGTACACAGAGGCACACACACACATATCATGTATGAAATTTTTTTCAAAAAAGAAAATGTAACAAAATCTATAGTACTGTAGTTACTAGGTCTAGAGAATAAAACCTATATGTACAGTAAAAATCTCAAGACGTTTCCATTCTCATATAAATGTGAAGTCATTTAATAAAAGAAAAAAGAAAAAAAGGAACTGGGCTAGAAAGGTAGCTCATAGTTAAGGGATCTTGAAAAAGACTAAGTTCACTTCCCAGTACCCTCCCCTATTCTAGCTCTGGGAAATCCCTCTTATGGTCTCTTCAGGTACTCAAATTCCCATGTGCAGACATACATAGACACATCAATAAAAATACTCTTTAGGCCGGGCAGTGATGGTGCATGCCTTTAATCCTAGCACTAGGGAAGCAGAGGCAGGTAGAGCTGAGTTCAAAGCCAGCCTAGTCTAAAGAGTGAGTTCCAGAACAACCAGGGGTACACAGAGAAACTCTGATTCTAAAACCTGAAGAAAAAAAAAAAAAAGAAAAGAAAAAGAAAAAAAAACTTTAAAAAAGGAATGTCAATTTTTACCTATTTGTGAAACTCAACAATGACTTAATAATCCATGATGGATTTTACCAGGTTTAAAAAAAAAATCTTTTTCTCTGTTTTGTTTGGAATAGGCTGCTATGTATCTCAGGATGGCCTTGAACTTACTATGGATGCCAGGCTGGTCTCAAACTCGTAATCCTCCAGGCTCATCTGAGATTATTGGTCATATCAGGCTCAAGATGCCATTAACTCCTGTTTAAAAATGTTAAGGAGAGGCCGGGCGGTGGTGGCGCACGCCTTTAATCCCAGCACTCGGGAGGCAGAGCCAGGCGGATCTCTGTGAGTTCGAGGCCAGCCTGGTCTCCAAAGCGAGTTCCAGGAAAGGCGCAAAGCTACACAGAGAAACCCTGTCTCGAAAAACCAAAAAAAAAAAAATGTTAAGGAGGAGCAGGGCAGTGGTGGTGCACATCTTTGATCCCAGTACTCTGGAGGCAGAGGCAGAGGCAGGAGGATCTCTGCAAGTTTGAGGCCAGCTTCGTCTACAGAGTTCCAGGACAGCCAGGGTTACAGAGAAACCCTGTCTCAAAAAACCAAAAATAAATAAACAAACAAACAAATAAATAAACATATAAAAAGTTAAGGAGGAGCAAGATGGCTCAACATTTGCTATCAACCCTGATGATGGATGATCTGACTTGTTCATCCCTGGGACCCACATAATAAAAAGAGAAACCACTCCTGCAAGCTATCCTGACACTTGCATGCCACACATCCCCATAACTAAATGAATGTAAAACAAAAATAATGCCAAAGGGGCAGCAAGATGGCATAGCAGGTAAGGGAGCCTCCATCAAGCCTACGATGTCTTCTGAGCTCCAGACATGTGCCACAGATGTACATCCATCCATGCACAGAAACATACACAGTAATAAAATTTGTAAATCTTACCTCATTGTTCTTATGTTTCTTAGCCACTGACAAAATTTCCTATGAGATTAAAAAAACCAAAAATTAATAATGTATAAGACTACCACATCCATGGCCCCAGCAACATTTGGTCCAGGTAAACTGCTACTACTCTCATCCTTAATCAAAGAAGTGTCTCTTTATAGTCAACAGTAGTGAATGCACAGATGCATGGCTGATAAAGACACTTATGCCCTAAATTTAGTCCCAAATATTGTTGGGAAAGGGGAGTGGTGGGGAGAAGGGCTCAGAGAAAAGAATGTGGGATGAAATACTTTAAGGAAGCATGAGCTAGGAGGGGTAATAACTTTAATCTCAGAATTGTAAACACAAAGACAAGTGGATCTCTGTGAGTTCAAGGCCAGCTTAATCTACATAGGAAATTCTAGGCTAGCCAAGGCTAAACAAACAGTGAAACCTTGTCTTAGAAAAAAAAAAGATACAAAGAAGGGGGCTTGAAAAATGGCCCTGCAGCTAAGATTATTGTGCAATCATAAGTGCTAGTCTAGTAACAAACAAGCAGGGTATTGCTGTATGTCAAGTGTGTTGTTGATTGGTTAATAAATAAATCACTGATTGGCCAGTGGCCAGGCAGGAAGTATAGGCGGGACAAGGAGGAGAATAAAGCTGGGAAGTGGAAGGCTGAGTCAGAGAGACACTGCCAGCCACCACGATGACAAATAGCATGTGAAGATGCCGGTAAGCCACGAGCCACGTGGCAAGGTATAGATTTATAGAAATGGATTAATTTAAGCTGTAAGAACAGTTAGTAAGAGCCTGCCACGGCCATACAGTTTATAATCAATATAAGTCTCTGTGTTTACTTGGTCGGGTCTGAGTGGCTGTGGGACTGGCAGGTGAGAGAGATTTGTCCTGACTGTGGGCCAGGCAAACTCTAGCTAAAGGGTATCCCACAAATGCCATTAACTTCAGCTCCAAGGAATCAGAGACTCTCTTCTGGTCTATGTGTATAAAGGTGCACATATTTATACACCACAGATTCCTTCAACAGCTGGTACCATCCTTCTGCATGAGCACTTCCTAGCATCTTTACCATAACCCCAACAAAAAGTCTCCTCACATTGTTCCTATAAACTAGAATGCTCTGCTCTATTTTCTACGCCAAAAATTTGATATTAATTTATTAAAATCCTCTCAAGTCAATAAACATATTATGAAGGCTGATGTAAGTGCATACTCCTGTAACCCCAGCACTCAGGAGGCTGAGACAGCAGAATCCAAGCTAGAGGCCAGTCTGAGCCATATACTAAGACTCTGTCTCAAAAAAATTACAATTAGGAGATAGCTTAGTGGTTAAGAGCACTGGTTGCTCTTCTAGAGGATATAAGTTCAATTCTTATCACCCACATGCTAACTCAAACTTTCTATAATTCTGGTTCCTTGGGATCTGATGCTCTTCTGGACTTAGGACACTGCACATATATGCCCACAAGCAAAACAGCCATACAAATAAAATAAAAAATATATATATTTTTTAGTAGTTTTTTTAGTCAACATCTAATATTAAATAATCTCCTTAGATTATTACCTCTTTTGATATGACCTCTGCAATGTTGTACGATTCTTCTTCTCTTCCTCTTTTCTTTTTCACGACTATAAAACAAAACCACATAATCAATAGCAGCTAAAAACAGAAATGCAAACATACACTCTTCAAGCTGGAACAAAGTCAATTTACCTGGATTCTCTTCATTTGCATCAACTGAATTTTTACCCTACAAAACAAAGATTTACAATGTTACTATTTTTTTATTAATTTTATGTGTTTCATCTACATGTACGTCTGTGCACCATGTGCATGCCTGGTGCCCCAAAACAGAAGAGGGCAACAGATCCCCTGGAATTTGAGACAGTTAAGAAAGTCAACAACCACCATATGGGTGTTATTAATGAAACCCAGGACCTCTGGAAGAACAACCAGTGCCCTTAACAGATGAGCCATCAAGGGGGCTGGAGAGATGGCTCAGAGGTTAAGAGCACTGGCTGTTCTTCCAGAGGTCCTGAGTTCAATTCCCAGCAACCACATGGTGGCTCACAACCATCCGTAATGAGATCTGGTGCCCTCTTCTGGCCTGCAAGCCTACATGTAGGCAGAATATTGTATACATAATAAATAAATAAATCTTAAAAAAAAAAAAAAAACAGATGAGCCATCAAGACCCTAAAATATTATTTTTACTAAGGACTTTTATGTTATTATTCTTTCTTTTATTTATTTATTTATTTGGAGAAATTCTCACTATATATAGCCTTAACTGGCCTGGAATTCACTATGTAGATCAGATGACCAGCCTTGTAATTTCATGATCTTTTTTGCCTCTGTGTACCAGGGATGGCATTACACATTAAAAAGTACTGATTAAGGGTTGTAAAGATGACTCCGTGGTTAATGGCACTTCATGTTTTTTCACAGGACCAGAGTTTGGTTCCCAGTGCCCACATTAGGCATGTCAAAACTGCTTTAGGGGATCCAATGCCCTCTTCTAAGACTCCATGATCACCCAAGCATGGTGGGTGATTACAGACACAGATAAATTATAAAAATAAAAATATTCCCCAATGTGGCACCACATATATTTAACTCCAGCACTTGGGAGGCAAAGGCAGATAGATCTCTGTGAATTGGAGACCAAATTATTAACCCTCTATTCATCATGCTCCTACAAAAAACCCTAAACTCAATGAGTCACAAAAATAGACATAAACATAGGAGGATATATTAGGAAGAGGGATTCAAAGGAAGTGGGTGGAGAGGGTAACGGGACGAATACAACCAAAACACTATCAATAATTAAGTTAAAAAAAGAAAGAAAAAGAGCTAGGGAGATGACTCAACAGATAGAGCCCCTGTGAAAACTGGAGTTTGTATTTGAAAACCCATAAAAATGCTGGGTGGGCATGGTGTCCCTCATTTAATTCCAGTGTGCACAAGGTAGAGATAGGGGATCCCTAGAGAAAGAAGGCTAGCCAGACTAGCCATACTGGTGAGCTACAGGTTCAACTGAGACCCTGCCTCAATGAACATGGAGAATGACCTAGGAAGCCTCCAAACGGACAACCTTGGGACTTCACACATGTACACATGTGAACATCCATAAACATTCAGACACATCACAAATACACATAAAAATGAAAGGATATTTAAAAAGAAATTTTTTTTAAGATTTAAAGAGATGTCAGGAACATTGGCTAAGTATTTAAGAGTACTGGCTCCTATCCCAGAGGATCTAGGTTCAGTTCCCAACACCCACATAGACACTCAAAAACATCTGTAACTCCAGTTCCAGGGAATCCAATAACTGTTCTGGCCTCTCCAAGCACCATGCACACATGTGGTATACAGACATGCATACATATATGTAGGTACTCACTCACATTCATAAAATAAAATAATTCTCTAAAAAACATTTACTACCCATTAGAAAAAAAAAATTTTATCTTATGTGCATTGGTGTTCTGTGTGAGGGTGTCAGATCTTGGAGTCACAGACAGTTTTGAGCTCCCATATAGGTACTGGGAATTGAACCTGAATCCTCTGAAGAGCAGTCAGTGCTCTTAACCACTGGACCATCTCTCCAGCCCAAGGAAATTTTTTAAAAGAGTTGAAAATTAAAGCAAACAAATAAACAAATGGACAAGCTGAACAACTCCAGTCTCAGGGGATCTGACATCCACTTCTGTCTCCCAAGGACACTGTACACACATGGTGTACTTAAACACATATAGGCAAAACACTTTGACACACAAAGTAAAAATAAATAAAATCTTTAAAAAAAATAGAATAAATTTGAAATTAAGCAGATAGTGAATAAGTAAAAAGAACAATTATCTCAAAATTTAAGATCATATAAACCATCTAAGGGACTGAATCCTTCAGTAGTAGATCATTTGCATAGCATATTCAAGACCCTGGGTTCAACCCACAGCACTAGAGGGGAAAACCCTGGCTTGTTATATTACCTCTACAACTTTTAATGATCGCTTTTTTTTCTCCAATTTCTCTTTCTTCTTCTGTTCCTGTAAGATATTTTTTAAGAAATGTGACATAAAATATATCACAATTACATCATCAAGTATTCATAATGAAAAAAAAAACTAGTAATTTAAAAAGAACTTGTACTTCTAGGCTTTATGGGATTACAGGAAACAGATTTACTCTGCCACACAGAACTAAATACAGACACAATATATTAGACAATAGTTTTCAAAAGGACAGTGAACTGAGGATAAAACAGATGATGAACCTTCTCAGCCAGTCTGCAAAACAGTGAGACATGCCTCAAAAAAATAAACAAACCAATAACAGTGTTCGGTTATACTTCTATGTAACCCAAGATCTAAAATAATGCTATTTTTTAAAAAAATAAGATGCCTCTCAGGAATAAAATATTTAAATGATCAATATACTATATAATAAATCTGAAAAATAGAAGAAAAGACAACACTGCATACCTAGTTAACCTACAAATATTAAGGAGAAAAATCTGGGTTTCTCCTAGTCTTTTATTCAACAACTGCCAGTTGGAACTTCTACCTTAACTGGTAAAACTTCCACTCTTCTGTTGACACAAAGCAACTAGTTAATATGCTGCTGCTGAGCGCCGTCAAAATTCAATGTGCCACATACCTTTGTCTCAGAGTACCAGATCTTACAGACTGAATGCTTAGGTTCCCATACTGTCCTCCTCAATCCTGCTGCCAAATAGAATGTTCAAGTTGTTCAACCCTTGTTTCTGACCATGAAACGAGATTCCCACAACATCCTCTCCAAGTTTGAACTTGCTAGAGCAGCTCATAGAACACAGGGAAACATTTACTTAAATTTACAGTCTATTACAAAAAATACTGATGAACAACCAGAACAGCACGGCAAAAAGAGAGCTTCAGTGCTCTCTCCAGAACATCATTCTCCAGGCTCCTCCAACTGTTCCATAGAGGAAGCTCTCATGTCCCTTTGTAGCTTCATTAGGTAGGTATCAAAGATTAAAACACTGATCACAAGTGATCAACTGACTTAACCTTGAAGCTGAGAGTTACAGCTTGTGAGTGACTAACCCCCAATTCTAGTTAACACATCAGCATACAAAAACATACCACTCAGGGTGCTGGAGAGATAGCTCAGAGGTTAAGAGCACTGGCTGGCTGTCCTTCCAGAGGTCCTACGTCCTGAGTTCAATTCCCAGCACCCACATGGTAGCTCACAACCTCTATGAGATCTGGTGCCCTCTTCTGGCATGCAGGCATACATATATGCAGGCAGAACACTGCATACATAATAAATTAAAAAAAAAGAAAAAGAAAAGATAGCACTCCAGAGATCCCAGGGACTCTAGGAATTATGATAGAAAACAAGGATGAAACCAAACATTTATAATACTATAATACAGTGCTTCCATTCATATAATATTCTGGAAAAGAGCTACTGATCAACAGTGACAGAGACTCCTCATGAGATTTGCTGATGGCACAAATGTACATTATTCCAATTGTGCTGGTGATAACACGGGTCTATACTTTCACAGGTTAAAACTTATCAAATAAGGTCTAGAGAGATGGCTCAGCCATGAAGACCACTGGCTGCTCTTCTAGGACCCAGGTTCAATTCCCAGCATCCAGAGGGTAGCCCACAAGCATCTGGAACTCCAGTCCCAGCAGATCCAATGTCTTCTGCCCTTTTCAAGCAGCAGGCATGCACATGATGCATAGACATACACACAAGCAACCATTCACACAAAATAAATAAGATTAATTTAAAAAACTCAAACATGAACTTGAAATCTCTACATTGTACTATACCTAATTTACACCTCAAAAAGCTGTCTTCAAAATGTTTCTAATCTATCATCTATAGTTAATCATATATACATACCTCCAACTGCTGTTGTTCCATTTTAGTCAACAAAAATTTTGAGTAGATATTGCTTTTTTCAAGCAAATGCTGAAGTCTGCGGTACCGAATTTCAGTGGACTCTCTATCCCAAGACATTCGAGCCTATCCAAAGAAAAATATTCTGTGACACTAAATTTTCTAAAGAGGCACATGGATCATTCAAGGCTATCCTTCTACATAGTAAGTTAGGCCTGACTAAGCAAGTCCCTGTCACAAAACAAAATGAAACAAAGCAATGAAGATAAAATAGAACAGAACAGAATTAGAATAAAAACAAGAAACAAAACCTAAAAGAACTCAAGCCAAAAAAAGGAGGGCGAGGGAGAATAGAGGAAGACAGGAGGGGAAGAATTAACAAGTACAATGAAATGTATGAAAATACCATATGAAGCCTGGCAGTGGTGGCGCACGCCTTTAATCCCAGCGCTCAGGAGGCAGAGGCAGATGATCTCTGTGAGTTCGAGGCCAGCCTGGGCTACAGAGCAAGTTCCAAGACAGTCTTCAAAAGCTACACAGAGAAACCCTGTCTCAAAAAACAAAAAAGAAAATACCACACAAAACCCATACTTTTATGCTAATTAAAATAAAACCTCACTAGCCAGGGTCTACCACATCTTTATAAAACTTTAAAACTGCTGTTACCCAGGCATAGTGGCAAATGCCCATAATCCCAGTACTCAGGAGGTAGATGAAGGACAATCAAGAGTTCAAGGATAGCCACTGTTACACAGGGAGTTCCAAGCCAATCTGGGTTACATGAGATCCTGTCTCAAAACTGTCAGAAAAACAAAAACAAAGCCTGTGCTATGTGATGCCCTCTGCCACTTGATTCAGTCTACAAGAAGATCACCAAATTCAGTCCCTCAAACTTGGATCAAAACAGTAACACCAAAACAAACCTTTTTCTTTTCTTATTTGTCTGTGTGCATGCAAGATGTGTGGGCATTTGCAGGCCTGGACACCCACTCTTGAACATGAGAGGACAACTTTCTGAAGTCACTTCTTTTTTTTTGTTTTTTTTTTTTTTGGTTTTTTGAGACAGGGTTTCTCTGTGTAGTTTTGGAGCCTGTCCTGGAACTCCCTCTGTAGACCAGGCTGGCCTCGAACTCACAGAGATCCGCCTGGCTCTGCCTCCCGAGTGCTGGGATTAAAGGCGTGCGCCACCACGGCCCGGCTGAAGTCAGTTCTTTCTTTCCACCTTTACATGGGTTCTGGGTTAGAGCTCAGGTTGCCAGGCTTGTACACCAAACTCTTTACCAGCTGAGTCATCTCACTAGTGTGCAAACCTCTCTTCAAAATTCAACATGCTTACTCTACTGCTCATGTCTTATTAGCCCTTGCCAGCATTTTGTATTCCCCCGAGTTTTGCCTTTATGCTTTAGCTTTCTTTGAATAGCCCAGGCTAACCTCAAATTTACAGAAAACTTACAGATGACCTTGAATCGATTCTCGTGCATCTACCTCCCAGGTACTGAGATTACACATGGGCCACCACACCCAACTAGATCATTGCATTTATGTCACATACATTTTGGAATTACAAACCTAATTTTTATATAATTTATTTATTGAGTAATTTACTTTAACTTTATGGTATGGATGTTTTATCTACATGTATGTTTTTGACACTTGTGTGCCTGGTGTCCAGAAGGGGACTGGATCCCCCTGGAACTGGGGTTACAAAGGACTGTGAGCCACCACGTGGGTGTTGGGAATTGAACCTGTGTCTTTGAAAAGACTGCAGGTGTGCACAGATGCCAGAGATGTCAGATTCCCCTGGAGCTGGAGTTATAGGCAGTTGTAAGCCACCCAACATAGGTTCTGAACTCAAACTCAGAACCTTTACAAGAGCAATGACCCACCTCTCTAGCTCTATAATTTTTAAAATATAATTAGAAATAACTATCTTCTTCATAAAATAGTTGAGGCATCAATGAGTAAAACACTGAAACTAAAACCTGATTTTTTTTCTTCTTTTTTGAGAGTCTTACTATGTAACTCTGGCTGGTCTGGAACCAGGCTAGACTCTAACTCGCACCTGCTTCTGCCTCCCAAGTGCAGAAATTAAAGGCACGTATGCACCACCATGTCCAACATGACAGCCTTTTTTTTTTTTTAAGGTTTATGCTGGAGGTTGGAGAGATGGCTCAGCAGTTAGGAGTACCAACTGCTCTCCGATAGGTCCTGAGTTCAATTTCCAGCAAACACAGGGTGGCTGCTCACAACCACCTATGAGATCTGGTGCCCTCTTCTGGCCTGCAGGGACACATGCAGGAAGAACACTATACATAATAAATAAATAAATCTTAAAAAAAAAAAAATGCCAGGTGGTGGTAGCACATACCTTTAAATCCAAACAGGTGGATCTTGTGAGTGAGACCAGCCTGGTCTACACAGTGAGTTCCAGGACAGCCAGGGCTACACAGAGAAACTGTCTCCATAAACTAAGATTTGTTTTAGGGGTGGGAAAAAATTATTTTGTGTTTAACTCTTTTGCCTGTATATATGTATATGTAACACACATGTGCCTGATACCTGTGTTGTTGTTCTTAAGAGGATTTTGGATCACCTAGAACTGGAGTTATAGATGATTGTAAGCCATCATGTGAGTACTGAGAACCAATCCTCCAGGATCCTCTGAAAGCTCAAGTAGTGCTCTTAAGAGCTGAGCATTATCTCTAACCTGGTGACTTTGATAAAGTAGCCCAGGATAGTCTCAAACTTGCAGCAATTCTCCTTCCTCACTCTCCCAAGTGTTGTGGTTAATTTACAGGTGTGAAGTACCACACCCAGCACTGTTTTTCTTTAAGACAGGATCTCATGTAAGTCAAGCTGTCCCCACAACTCTCTATGTAGCTACATATCTGAAGATGACCCATGTAGGGAATGACCTTGAATATCTGACCCTCATGCCTCCACATTCCAAGTTTAACAATGCCAGAGCCTCGCTAGTTTGAGGCTAACTAGAAGCGTATGATATGTTCCCATACACACTCAGAGAAAACAAAACAAAAGGAGTTAAGAATGCCAACTGGCAGGGGCTAGGGAGTTGGCTTAGTTGACAAAGTGCTTACCACGAAACTATGAGGACCTCAGTTAGGACTCCCGGAACCCCATAAAAGTGGGATTGGAGATGTTAGCAATCCCAGCACTGGAAAGGAGTCAGTAGGACCCCCGGGGCTTGTTGTCCTATCTAGCTGAAGGTGTGAGATGATGTTCAGTGAGATTCTGTCTCAAAAAAATCAAGGGAAATAGATCAGTGGGTAAAGGTCCTCAAGCCTGACATCTGAGTTCAATCCCTGGAACCCACATAAAGGTGGATGGAAAGAGAACTGACTCTATCAAACTGTCTTCTGACTTCCACACAAGTGTTAAGGTACACAGGCCCATGCACATTAATAATTCTTACTTAAATGGAGAATGAAGACACCTGACATCAACTTTCGTTCATCCTCCATGGGCAACACAAACACACAAATAAATGGGAAAGAGCACTGACATATAAAATAGTTAACATGAACCATGTGAGTCATCACTTGTTTCAGGATGGATTAGTTCCCAAATTAAATAGTTTTCTATTTAGGCTCAGTTAGTTCAATATCCCATTAAGGTATATTTCCTTTCATGAAAGGGCACAGTTGGTAAGGAAGGGAACTCAGGACATGAGTTCAAATTTGTCTTCAACACTTACTTTTTGACCAACTGGCTCAGTTTGCTCATTTGTATTATGAATCTGGGCTGGAGATAGCTTTGCAGGGAAAAGTGCAACTGCTCTTGCAGAAGTTCCCAGCTTGGTTCCCAGCACCATGTCGTGTCTGGTGGCTCACAACCAACATATCCTAGCTCCAAGGCATCTGCAGGCACTCCAGACTCAAGTCACATACTCCTCCCACCCACCCACACATGAATAAACATTTCAAAATAATAAAGGAAAAACGTTTTTAAAAAGAATATAAGCCAGACAAGGTGGCCCAGGCCTATAATTCCAATACTTGAGAGGCTCAGACAGAAGGATTATTGTGAGTTCCACCCCAGCCTGGGCTACAAAAGTAAGATTAAAGACCCCAAAGATAAGTCATATTATACTGATAGGCTGAAATAAATTCAAGGTAACTAAGGATTTAAGAATTTTCCAGGATTGTATCACTCTCTTTCTTGCTTTCTCAACAATTAAGCAGCAGGGTGGGACTTCATAGTACTAAACAAAAACTAAATTGTCCAAAAGCTGCTTTTACTAAATTATAAAGAGTCTATTTACAGAAACTACAAATAATCTAACTTGTCATGAATATATACACCTCAATTTTGGCTAAAGAATTTTATTTATAGAAAACTAAAACAAGTTGATTACTTAGGTAGCAAACAGTAATTAACTGTTAAATCATTAGGAGCAAGGAATGGTAGCACGCCCCAGTAATTCCAGTTCTGGGAAACCAGACCGGGGAAACTGGGGTGTGGAGGCCAGCCAGAAACCTGAGTAAAACTGTCCCCAAAACAAACAAAATAGAAAAGAAAAAAAAAAAAGAGGAAGAAATAATCAGTAGACCTGGATTTCAGCCCAGCCTTTGATTGATGCCAATATCTACCATCTCTGTCTAGTACATTATGACTCTGGGTGTTAAAGATTAATTTGGGCCATCAGGCATACGGCGAAGGTACATATTTAAAAAGCAAATAAAGATGGCAAAGGAAAGCATTCACCAGTGATTGCAGATGAATCTTAATAATTAGTCAAAAAGGCAATCTTGAGTGAAACGTTCACTCAAGATATGCACTCACTCAAGATATGTTGTGACCACCCCCGCCCAAGACCTCAGAAACCTATCATTCAAAGCACACGCCAAGATTTCATCTTTACACGAAGGAAAAAGACCGAGGTGACCAGGCTGCTTTGAAGTTCAGGGAAAGCCCAAGCAGGTGGTGGAGGACCGCCCGCGGGGTGAGCCTCGGGTCACGGGGCTCTCACCTCCTCTAACATCTTCCGCTCCCTTTCAAGTCCCGCAGCCTCGAGCTGTTCTTCCTCCTCCAGCATGGCTGGAGTAATCACGGCAGGTTCCGTTTGCTCAGCCATTTCTGGGGCTAAGGGCCCTAAGGGGAGGGATGGGGGTGCTTTTAGAACGTGATCTAAGTCACAGCTTCGCAACTCCCTTCCCGGATGCACTGGAAGCAGAAGCCGAAGCAGTCGGCTGCGGGGACCCAGCTCCTGAAGGGAGGGGTGTGCAAGGGAGACTTCTGGAAACCCTCCGGTGCAGCCCGGCAGGCGCGGTCGCCGGCGGCGCTGCGCTCGCCTCCCCACGGCTCCCCACGCCTCCTTCCCCCCTCAGCCCCGGCCCCGGCTGGCTCCCTCCCGCGACGTGCGCCGCAGCCTCCACGCCGCCGGCTCACCGCTGCTGCTCGCGGGCTGCTCCGCAGGCATGGCTGGACACCCGCCGCGACCCACTCGCCTCCTCCGAGCGCCTCAGACGCAGCGCACTAAGCCCTCACAGCAGAGCGCTCCCGGCGAGCTCGCTCTACCCCCGGCGCGAGAAAAACGCGCGCTTCTTCTTCGCGGGAAAACCCCGTCATCTCGCGAGACTTCCGGCTCCCCGCCCACTTTGGACCGCGGCTCACGAGATTTAGGAGAGTTTGTGTTTGCGGTCCGCCTCTCAGCCGTCGGGTCGAGTTAAGCCTTTAACCTGGACCAGAATCTTAGGGAGAGTGGATGTTGCAGGCTCCAGCCTCGAACTTCTCCCGTGATCGGGGAGACTCCGCGGAGCGCAGGAGGCCAGAGTCTCCCTTGTTATTTAATGATGGTTCCGGATTGTTCAGCGGTGTGCAAGAACTTTTCACGCGAGACCTTTTCACACGCTGACGTGATTGAATACCTACCCCCAATCGATGGTCCCTTCGGTAAGAAAACTATGATGCAGGTCGAGGTTAGGATGTCAGAAACTGCCAAGCTCGCAGGCCCCTGCCTAGTTGTAGTTCGCATTTTTATAAAATTTCTTCCCAGATAACGCTGAGGATGGCTGGTTTGTAAGAAGGGATAAGAAATTAAGGTTATGGCTAATTTAGGGTAAGATAAAGGTAATGGGTGATAAGCTGACTGGAAAAGACAAGACTGAAACGGGCTGGAGGTGAAGCCGAGTTGGTATAATGCTTGCCTAGCAGGCGCTGAGCTTTGGGTTAGCTTCAGCGCCTCCTTAACTGGCTTGGTGATGCATTCCTGTCATCTCGCGCAGGGCAAGTCCAGGCAGCAGGATTAGGACTTTTAGAAAATATCCTTGGTTACTAGCTAATTCAAAGATACCCTGGGGGACATGAAACTTTTTTAAAAATATCCGGAAACTAAATGGAGCACAAATAAAAATGGGTCCTGAAGTGTTTTTCTCGTGGTTGTTTTTTGTTTAGATTTCAACTCCTTTTCTGCAGTCCCTTTTGCATGTTAGGAGAAAAGCCCTGCAAGTTGTCCCCTAACCTCTGAGTATTTGTGGCATTTGTAAGCCCACCCCCACACCTCTAAACAAGTATAGTAAATGAAAATGTAAAAAAGAAAAAAGTTAAGAAAAAGGATGTGTGTTTACAATACACCATAACCACCTTCAAAATCCTCTTTTTTAAAAAAATATTTTATTTATTTATTCATTTATTTGAGATAGGGTCTCACTATGCGGCCCTGGCTGACCTGGAACTTGTTTACCTCGATTATGCTGGCCTTAAACTCAGACCCACCTGTCTCTGCCTCCCAAGTGCCAATATATGCTACCATGCCTTGATGATCAACTTCCCTCCTAGTTCTTAAGGAAGAGTAGGTTGATTTGCTCACAAACGAGATGGAGCACAATGCAGTCATCTGGTTCTCAAAGGACAGACATCTGCTCTTGGCTGCACACTATTAATAAGTGCATTGCTACATTCATTTCCTGACCCATCTTTGCTGTTTGTGCAGGCCAAATACTCAGACCGATAAGAAAAATACTGTTCATCCACTTTCCAGGGCCTTGGTGTAAATGGCTCCAGTGCAACAGAAACTGTACAGCAATGAACTAAAGCTACTAAATCTTTATACATAGGTTACTTAAATTCCAGAACTGGGGGCAGGAAAGGTCAATGGGAGAATGGGTGGTTCTTTTAGATTGGGTATTTGGATGCCTGAAGAAAAAAAAAAAAGGACAAGAAATGTCAAAAAGCCAATCAGTCCAGGGTAAGAGTAACCTAGACAGAAACTAAAGCTATTCAAAAACACCAAGGCAGAAATAGCTCAGGTAATGTTTGAGTACCAAAAAGAAGGCTAATGTGGGAGCTGGGGAAATGGCTCAGCAGTTAGCATGTACGGCCCCTGCAAATCACCTGAGTTTGTTTCCCTGCATGCATGTCTATGGCTGCCTGTAACTCCAGCTCCAGGTGACTAATTCCCCCTGATGGCCTCCTTGGCTATCCACATACATGCTTAAAAACCACCCACATAGTCATAAATCAGTTTTTTAAAGATGACTAATGATAAGCAGAGTTGGCAAGGGGGCATATCACAGAAGGAGGTAGATAACAAGATATCACATTGGGATTTTTCTTCTAAAATATAACAAGTTATATTTCTCTACCCTCACAAAATGTCTTGGAAAATATTTTATATGAATGGCTTCACTATCCACCCAATCAGATTTCAATACCAAACCTAACTATTGCTCACGTTTATACTACTAGGTCTCCTTCAAACAAAGACAGACTTCTCCCAATTTCCCAATAATAAAATTTGCAAATCTAGCATCTGAATTACCTTTCACTCCCTCATTTTCTCTTCAGGATAGAAATCCTTGAAGCCTACTCCAGGAATCTTAGATTAACATTCCATTCTCCAGGGTTCCTAAATGCTCCCTGAATTCTTTCCGTTATTATTCAAATACTTAAATCTCTCTTGGAGGAGGAGTTAGGTTTTTGGCAACATCAGTTCTCCCCTTTATAACGTACTGTAGAATTATTTACACTTAGCTAGGCATTATAGCACACAGCTTTAATTCCATCACTCAGGAGGCTAAGGCAAGTGGATCTCTGAGTTCAAGGACAGCCAGAGCTACATAGTGAGTCTCTAAAAATCAAAACAACAAAAAAAGAAATGTTACACTTGCTAAGGACAAAGCAAGCTTCCATAAGGAAATCTACCCCTGCATCACCCAGGAATTTGAACCAATTTCAGATGAGCTGGGAATCCCATTCCAGAGAAACCAAGCCCCCCCAAAAGTGCAAACACTGCAGTAGATGTATCAGGCATTTCTTGGCATTGCTATTAATTTACCTGGTAATGTCAGTAACATTATTTGAACAAATTCTTCTTTGAGTATCAAAAAAAAAAAAAGAACTGTGGGCTTTAATGGCAAGCCAGGACCAGGACTTAAGGGTGGTTGTCATCCTGTGCTGCCCTTGAACTGTCCATTATGAGGCCTGTTCTCTGATAGAAAGATGGAACTAATGGCTGGTTGTAAGTCAGAGTTATCTCCTTTTGTTATAAAGCCTAATGGCTGGTGAACCCCTGTGAACAATTTCAGAAGCCGTATCCTAGTCAACGATTTATTCTTACTTTATGTACATTGGTGTTTTGCCTGCATGTATGTCTGTGTGAGAATGTCGGATCCCCTGGACCTGGAGTTACAGACAGTTGTGAGCTGCCGTGTGGGTGGTGGGAATTGAACCTGGGTCCTTGGGAAGAGCAGCCAGGGCCTTTGACTGCTGTGTCATCTCTGCAGCTCCAGTCCTAGCAATCTTAAACCTCACTTATCTCAGACAAATCTGGTTAGCATTGTGCTTATCTTGGAGTTATTTTGGAGGCAGCACTCCCTTAACTAAATTCTGTTTTGTGTGACTTAAAATGTCTCCTAAGCAGAGGTTATTAGTAAATCCTCTCTATTATCAATTCTATTACTCTGAGTTTCTTTCACACCATTATAACTCTATTTTTACTGTCAAACTATTCATATGGGCAATAAATATTTGGCACTGTTGTGCTTTGAAAAAAAAAAAAAAGAAAGAAAGAAATGTTATACTTAACTGGGCTTTGGGCTTGGTGGCACACACCAGTAATCCTAGCACTAAGAGGAGTCTGAGGTAAGAGGATTGTTACAAATTTGAGGTTAGCCAGGGTCACAAACTGTTTTTCAGATCAGCCTGAGCTACTTAGTGGCTCACACCTGTAATTCCAGTTGCTTGAAGCCAAAGACAGGAGGACTGCTGTCTTGAGGCCAGCCTGGTTAACATAAAGGAGTCTTGGGCCAGCAAAGGCTAAGTAGATGTTACTGGTGTCGTCAGAGTCTGGCCTGGATGTTTCCAGGCTTGTGGCCTCCTATTCAGAGAACTGAAAAAAAATCCTGCAATGTGGCAAGGAGACTTTACTCAATGCAATGGTATAGGACAGAATTAAATAATTGCCAAGATTGATAGTAGGCCACATGAGGGAGGTACTCAGGGGTCCTGATTATTGTTTAGGGCTTCCTTTAGGGGTTGGAGAGGAGGAGTTTGGTTGCTAAGGGGCGTCGTTTGCATGGTTTCTTTATTTTAACACACTTAGATAATACAGGCCTTTGCTTACTGAGAAGTCCTATCCTAGTGCATTGGGTTTTAATTATATACATACCCAATTGTGTGCAGACAAATGGATTACAGGAGATTGAGAACATAGGTTGCCTTATTGCTCATGCACCCAACATCAATCTAGGCCAATAGGTTCTCCTCCCTTCCTACCCAGATACATTGGGAACATGTTCAAATAGATGGTCATTAGTAGGGGAAGAAATCAATTTTCTTATTTGGAGTGGGGTATGTGCAGATGGAGTAGGTAGATGTCCTGGGTTGCTAACAGATTCCTAGATGCATTGTTCAGAAAGGGGTATATATGTGTGTATAATATATGCAAGTAAGGGTGTCAGGCTGCAAAATGCATGATTAGAAGAGGGATATGTGTTTACATCATAAACCAAGTGAAGTCCCAGGATGCTAAACTATCTCCTGTGCTTGCCTGCTGCAGAGTGACTCCTTGTATACAAAAAAAAAAACAAAAAACAAAACAAAAAAAAAACCACAAAAGCAAGTATCTACACTAGCATTTTATTTTATATTTTCGAGACAGGGTTTCTCTATGTAACAGCCCTGGCTGTCCTGGAACTCACTTTGTAGACCAGGCTGGCCTTGAACTCAGAGATCTTCCTGTCTCTGCCTCCTGAGTGCCAGGATTAAAGGCATGGGCCACCACCATCCAGTTTTTTACATTAGCGTTTTAAAACTGGTACCACCTACTGATTCTTCAACAACTGGTTTCCACAGTCAATAAACATTAAAGTACTTACTAATATAGTTACCTGCCTCTCTCTCTGATGCAAAACTTACCGGATATAGCTTAGTTTTTATCTCAATCTCACTGCACAAGTGAACGGAAGTTCCTGGGAGGGAAAAAAGCCCCACCTGTGTGAAGATTCTAAATGGCTGATTAGCTAATTGTAATATAACTATACACCAGGACCTGGGGAGATGGATTAATGGCTAAAGTGCTTGCCAAGCTTATGAAGACCGGAATTCAGATACTCAGAAACCCTCATCTGAGTATTCAGATACTCAGAAAGCCTCATCTGCACAGAATGTCTACATGGAAATTTTGAGGCCAGCTTGGATTATGTGAGACCCTTGTCAGTAAAGATAAAAAATACAGCCATGTGTGGTGGTGCATGCCTCTAATCCCAGTCCTCAGAGGAGGAGGCAAGGAGGATCAGGAGTTTGTAGCCAGCCTGAGCTTCAAAGAGAAATTCTTTAAAAATAAAAAAAAAAGTTTGAGCCAGGTGATGGTGGCACATGCCTTTAAATCCCAGCACTCAGGAGGCAGCAGTAGGAGATCTCTGAGTTCGAGGCCAGCTTGGTCTACAGAGCAAATTCCAAGACAGGCTCCAAAGCTACACACAGAAACCCTGTCTCAAAAAATAAAAAAAGAAAAAAAAAGTCTTTTAAAACCTAAAACCTAATTAATTAAATAAAATCTACAGGAAAGGTTTCGCTAATATAGAGACAAAAAAGAAGAGAAAGCAAAAAAAAAAAAAAAAGGGTCAAACATCAGCAATATTCCCACTTTCTAACAGAGACACAGTTTGTAGCCTAACCCAGTAATTGTGATGCCTTATTTAAACAATTACAGACTACTCCTGGTGGCATTGTACCAAGTTGCCAGTCTCAAGAGAGAATAGAATTTTAATATTTAACTACCTCCATGGCTGGTCTGGAATTTGCTATAGAGAACAGGTTGACCTAGTACTGGGATTAAAGCATGTACCACCAAGCCCAACCCAAATAACTTCCCTAAATTGCTACAAAGGAAGCCATTCCCTCCAAGAGGTATGGTACAATTCACTTCTCCGTCTCAGTATTTCAGTCTCTTTTTAAAAAATTATTTATTTTTATTTTATGTGCATTGTTATTTTGCCTATATGTATGTCTGTTTGAGAGTGTCAGATCTTGGAGTTACGACAGTTGCTAACTGCCATGTGGGTGTTGGGAATTGAACCCAGGTCATCTGGAAGAGCAGTCAGTGCTCTTAACAACTGAGCCATCTCTCCAGCCCTCAGTCTCTCTTCTGTCTTCTCTCTCCCTCATTTGCCTGCTGTGTTTCTATTCACATTGTCTATTCCTTATTGAAACTTGTATGTCACTCTGGTGTGGTAAATGTTTACACAAACCTTGGGTTGTCATTACTGCCACAATATCCCCTGCTTTATTGTAACCTACCTACATGATGTCCTCACTAATATGTTTGCTAAATATCTTGATTTATGGCTCTCTTTTATGACTACAGAATCGTTTATGTGACCACTTTCATGGGGGAATATGTCATTTCAGGCATCTTGAATTTGTTCCTGGGCCATAGTCGCTCATATATGATTCAGAATAAACTTATTTTTTACCCTAAGGTAAAAGCCGTGTTTTGTATCAGTTTAACGATCCACTGTGGGGTCCCAAAGACAACCCACTTTCACTGGCAGTATGGTAGGCACCAGACACCAGTACCTTTGTCCCTAGTCCTCTGTGTTCCCTTCTTGTGTAGCTGCCCAGACTTCCCTTTTGGTGGGCTGGTGGGCTGGGCTGGTGTTGGAGGTCCACTTACTGCTTCAGACAGGAACTGAAGCATGTGTGTAAGAGCATTTGACAGAACCTCTGCTAGCTTTAGCCTTTCTCCTTCCCTTCCTCCAGGGGCTAAACTCTTGTGTTTTTCTCATCTCCTCACTCGTGTAATTCTGGTCCTTTTATTTGAAATTTTGGGAGCATCTAAAACCAAAGTGTGTTGCCACATGCCCCTAACTCTAGCACCTGAAAGGTGGGGTTGAAAGGATCACAGGGCTCAAGACCCTCAACTACTTAGGGGATTCAAGGCCAGCCTCAACTACATGAGACCATACCTCAGGGGAAAAAAAAGTGCTTAATCCTAAAAACACCAAAGAGAAGAGGTCCTTGTTCCCTACAACTCAACAGCGTGGAATTGTCAATTGAACTCCCCAGGATGTACAGCAGCCGCCCAGGAAGAAAAACAACACAACACACCTCACTCCTAGGTTGGAAGGGACTCTACTGAACATAGAAATAAGGAGTGAACACCCAGTGTTCTGTGCCCCTTCACATTTCTATAAATATGCAGGCAGGCCACGGTGGTACACACCGTTAATCTAGCACATGAAAGGCAGAGGCAGGCAGATCTCTGTGAGTTCTAGGTCAGCCAGGGTTACATAAGACCCTGTCTCAAAAACAAAACAATACCAAAACAAACAAACAAAAACAACAAAAAACAACCAATAAGTTATAAACTTCCGTTCTTTTTTACATATGTGTATGGGTGTTTTGTCTGCATGCACCACATTTGTGCAGTACCCTCACAGGCCAGAAGAGGGTGTCTTTTGGGAGTGGAATTAAAGAACATTGTGAACCAACCATGTTGGTGCTGGGAATTAAACTTGGGACATATGGTAAAACAGCTGAGCCATCTCCCCAAGTTATAAAGTTATTCCAAAAGGGAAGAATCAGGGCATCACAAGGAATAATAATATCAAAACAAAACCCAAACCCAGCAGTGACAATACCAAATTCTATAGACTAATATCCAACATCTGAGACTCACTCATGGTAATTTCTAAGTCTCAAAGGGCTTAGGCAGCCCCACCTCTCTAGCTCTGCCATCCATAGCACACAAAGTTTCTCTCTTAGGTTTAAGTTGGCTCCACTCTATATCTGTAGCTCTCCCTGACAGACATCCCACAGTCCTGGCATCTCCAATATCCTGGGTTCTCTACTGCAACTGAGGATTACCTTCACCAATGGCCTCTCAGGGACTCTGGCCACATGGTGCCAAGCCTTAATTGCTCACCATGACCCTTTCATGCCTTCAATTCTCACACTGCCAAGTTCTGTGAAGATCCATCTCAGCAGCCTTGCCCCCTTGGGTCACATCTGATCCTGGGGAACTACATTCCTATTATCTCAATGAATCGCAGGAAGTTATACCTAAGAGGTACTGATGTCTTATAATCATAGATCTAGCATGATCAAATAACACAAATTGGTAACCGGAGTATCACAAGACTGCCTCTGGCCCAATTCTTGATAAAGTTCTTGCTCCCTATTGAAACCTCATGAGCCAGGCTGCTCATAGTACCCATTTCTCTCAGCATTACTGTCTTCCAAACTCTGCCTCCAGCATTCAACAGTTTCTCAACCCAAAATTCCAAATGCTTTTATATTCTGTCTCCAAAAACAAGGCATAAATTTCACACGGCCAGGACCATCAAGTGACATCACACTATCAATACCAAGTTGTGTCCTAGTTCATTTGTTGCTGGGAAAAATAACTTGGACCAAAAGCAACTTAGGGGAGAAGATGATTTATTTGAGTTATAATTCTAGGTCACAGGCCATTATTTTGGGGAAGCCAAGGAAGGAACTAAAGCAT